ACAAAAGAATACACAAAATGCTCCAAATAGGTTCTTCTCTTTACAGTTTCCAAATTATATTTGATCCTGACAACATGTTACTACAGGCAGGACTGGCATTATTAACTTCTTTTAAAAAATATAACTGTAATAGAAAGACATGGGCTTCTCCTTTCCCACTTCCTCCTTTTTTCTTCTTCTTGTAGTAACAAAAGATGTAATGCCCAGTTTAAAAAGAAAAGAGAAATCACTTCTCAGCAAAAATTTAACTCTCTATATAAAACCAATATATATTGTCTTCAACAAAATTAGAAGACACTTGTAACCTTAACCACAACATATGAGAAAGAGGCACCAAAGGAGGAAAGGACAGGAAGATGCCTGAAGAGAATGTTTATAGTTTCCGATCTCAGTCATTAGAACAAGACTAAAATCAATGGCATAATCTGAGGGGCAAACCAATTCTTTGCCTGAAACAGTGGAGATGGGCGAGTGCCAGCAGTAGGGGGCTTTCTGGATATCGCCTGGTACCAAGGGAGGAGCAGGAGAGACCAAGCCAAAGGATCAAACGCAGACACGTCACATTCATAAGTAGCAGCCTGGAGAGGAGAGGTAGAGAAGAGAGACTCCAAAGGTGAGAGAATAAAAGGCTAAAACAGTTCCCTAAGCTCCACAATCTCATCACAGGCAGTTCACTATAACTCTGAAAGAACTGTTAGCCCAACGTGCTGACCTACCCATCATATATGTTTATATCAAATAGGTGAGCCAAAAGGAAACTTGCCTCATTTAAAGATGAAACTGCATAGCACTCATACAAAAACACTCCAATAAAAGGGGGAAAGAAACAGGAGAAACAATAGCAGATGAAACCATTCAAAAGAAAAAAAAAAAAAAAAGAGCTCTAACCTGTTTCGCTTCACTCAGTGAATAGAGCGTCTCCTGCAGAATCAAGAGTCCCAGGTTCAATTCCAGGCAAGGGCATGTACCTTGGTTGCGGGCACATACCCAGTAGGGAGTGTGCAGGAGGCAGCTGATCGATGTTTCTCTCTCATTGATGTTTCTAACTCTCTATCCCTCTCCCTTCCTCTCTGTAAAAAATCAATAAAATATATTTTTTAAAAATCTGATGAACAGAATAAACTGGTGAATATAATAGAATCAGGGGCATAGAAAGGGAGTGAACTGACAATTCTCGGTGGGGGGGGGAGGGGAATGGGATGTAGGGGGTACAGGAAGAGACTGGACAAAAATCATACACCTATGGATGAAGACAGTTGGGGGGCATTAAGGGAGAAGGGTGGAGTGGAAACCAGGTGGAGGGGAGATATGGGGGGAAAAAAGGGGAACAACTGAAATAATCTTAATAATAAAGATTCATTAAAAATAAAGAAAAATAAAGAAGGAAAATGAGTCTACTGAGCACATGAAACATGTGACCAAATAGTGTCATAACTCAAAGGACTTAAGGAAACAAACAGTTCATACAGAGGTAGATATAAATGGTCAGAACTGCCATGGCAAAACAACCATAGGAAATGCAATATGAACTAACAGAGTTCAGAAAAGAAAGGGAAAAGAAAAAAACAAAGCCATCCCGGAAATGCATTAAATTATGAGAAGGCAAAGAGGAGATAAAGTAGAATGATTTTTCATCTCCATTAAGCATTGATTCAAAATATAGCCTTTAAACTGCTAAGCATGTAATAAAGGTATAAACATATTTATAGGCACAAGATTAAACACAAGAATAACCAAAGAAATAATACAATCAAATAAAACTACAACAGAGGAAAGGCAGAAGAAAGCATTAAGTATACTAATTGGACATTGCTCAATTAGCAGAGTAGCATCTAAAATAATTAACATGTAATTCAAAATTAGAGTTAAGAAAACCACTAATGAAAGAGAGAACTATAATAAATATAGATAAAATATGTATAGTATACATTGTTGATTATTCATGTTATTCATCTCTCCTACCCTTTCTACCTGAACTCTAACTTGGATCATATATCCTTGTTTTCGTCACACAATCTTGTGCTGTAGGGCAGTGTTTTTGTTTTTTTTTTTTTAACATATTTTATTGATTTTTTTACAGAGAGGAAGGGAGAGCTAGAAACATCGATGAGTCATTGATCAGCTGCCTCTTGTACAACACCTACTGGGGATGTGCCCGCAATCAAGGTACATGCCCTTGACCAGTAGAACCCGGGACCCTTCAGTCCGCAGGCTGATGCTCTATCCACTGAGCCAAACCAGTTTTGTCAAGGGCAGTGGTTCTTAACTGGGTGTGATTCTACCCACCAAGAGACATATGGGATATCTGGAGACATTTTTGATTCTCAAAATTTAGGGGGATGCTACTGACACATAGACCATCAAATTTCAACTCACACTACAGTTTTTGCAGCTGAGATGCAGAATAAGGAGACTGGCTCCAGATCAAAATCCTAAGAATGATCTTTCAGGCCTCACCATAAGCAGTTACAAAGATGTTGCCTAGCAGACTTCATAGAATAAGACTGTTCTACCAACAGTCTTCTAAGAGAGCTGTAGTCAAGGATTCAGGCCCCCTCAGCCAGCATCTCATATGCATACCTGTGTTCCTAGCTCAGGCAACTCCAAAGGTCTCCTGATCAGGGACTTTGACTGAGATAACCTTTTAGCTGTCTTCACTGAGATACTGAGATTCCACTCCTAACCTGTACCCTCCCGCTGCCCCCAGTCTCCTGGGTTCACAAAATGGCAGGAACCTTTTGTTCAGTGCTGTCAGCAGTGAGACCATTTCCTCCATCTGAACCACATGCCATTTGATTGACCTTGCCTAGTGCCATTCCATGGCAGAAATGCCATGAGGAGCCAGCACTACATTTCTTTTTGGCCTCTTGCTTAGATTATCACAGTAAGTGAATAAAGACTTGCTGTTTTCATTTGGCTGTCTTAACTGATGACCTCAATCCTTGCAGCCTGGCACAGAGATACTGCTAACCATTGTACAATGTGCAGGGCACCCTCCCAGAAAGAAGAATTATCTGGTCCCAAATACCAACAGTGCTGAAGCTTTGGGGGAACATGACCCCAGGACCATCTCCACAAACAGCATTCTCATGGAGACTGTTAATCATTTGGAAGTAGACAGATGACCACACAGATTGGCCCTATCACATTGAAGTGAAAGTGGCAGAGGATTTCATTCATATGTGGAATTTACTGAATAAACTGGACTAATAAGAAAAATAGAAGAGACTCAGCAGACAAACAGCTCTGATGCAAGGATATGGGCAGGGTTATTGTTGAACAAAAAAGAAAAAAAAAAAGAGAAAGAACTCATGGGCAGGACAACAGTGTGATGATTACAGGGGGAGGAGGATGGGTGGATGTAGAAACAAATAAAAATTTGCCATTTAAGCCACTCTCTGATTCTGGAAATAAAATATTTTAATTCACTTAAAAAATAAAAGTGGGTTCCTAACTCCCACTATGAGCACATTAACCACATTTTCACATACAAAAAGCTTAGATACATTCGATTGTTTACAAGACATGTCTCTGTATAATACATTTACATTCATGTGAAGTATATGAACTTACATAATTGTATATACTTGTGATTTCATATCTGGTACCTTTTAAAACATGTAATATGATTATTTTCTAAAAGTCAGTTCATATATGATGATTTAAGGTTAGTAGAGTCTCTTTTGAAGAATTGTATTAGTTGTATTCATATGAGAATTCAATCATTTTTTAACTATAAGTTTCCAGCTAATGCTCTAGCAGTTTAAGTTACCTGACTGGCAATGCATGAAATTCTTACCAGGTTGTATTGTTTGGTTTACAGTTTAAGTCATTATAAGTGGCATATAATTAACTATTTGCGCAGAGGAAAAAAAGCACCAAGGATAATATTTTTTTTTTACATCACAGATGAAATCACAACACAATCTTAATTTCCCTTTGAAATCTAATCACTTGAAAAAAGCATTTATTTCAAATCCTCAATCTTTAAGCTTTCTTAGTGAAATCAACTGATACACTAGAGATAAGGATGGAGTAAAAACAGATGCTATGTATAATCTATACTAACTACAGAATTCAGATAGTCTTCTCACATTGATGATTTCTATTTCTGAATTGAGTTCCTTAGATCTAAAAAGAACCGAAAATAAATGTTACATTTATAAACTTGTCATCTATATCTTAAAAAGAAACTCTAAGGATGACTTTCTTGCCAATTTGTGAAGCAAAATTTTTCTGATGAACAAAAGCACCTTATGGTAAGAAAATATATAAAGAAAATATTTTCTACAAATTAATATACAAATTTATGCACATAAAGATGTGGCTATCCCAGCTGTATCTGTAATATTTTAAATAACACACAATAAAAAAATTCAAAGCACAGATTGAAAAAAAAAATAACCCTTATCCTGTAACTCCAGTTATTAAATATTGCAGCATATATGTAATTGTAACAACTGGGGGAGGGAGGTTATAATCTAAATGGTCAATATCTCTTTGGAAATGTACTTTTTTAAAACCTGAAATATGTAATCCTGACCATCAAATTTCAACCCAAACTACAGGTTTTACAGCTGATACACAATCCATGATACTGAAAGTGAGTTCAGCGGCCACTTCACAGATTCTTCATTAAACAGCATTACTGGAGCCACATGGTACAGGCTAGCTGGGCATTCATGTTCCTTTTCTTCCCACAGGCATACGGTAAACATCATATTCAGAACAACAGACCTCTATCACCATAAGTTTTGCTACTCATAAAATGCTAATAAACATGGTTTTAAAGATTCCCAGATCATGACAAAGGTTTCTTACCTGAAACTATACAAAGAATTATCTAGATTTAACATATTTTTAAATGAATACAGAGATGTATAACAAGAAACATAAATTATTTGCTTTGACAGTTTTTAGCCAAGGCTTATCACGTTTTTTTTCTAATGAACATGTGATTTTTGTAAGTATAAGGATTTCTAGCTCCGGCTAAGAAGATTTTATTTCTTCTTCCCAGTGGTTTTTTTGTGTTCATGCACTTCTGTTTTGCTACTCATAATCTTTTTTCGGCTTGAGGTATTAGGAATAACTGCACTAGAAGGTCCGCTGGTAGCTAAACAAAAAAAGAAAAAAAAATATTGCTTAGATTTTCACAAGCAACAAAAGGTCAGTAATACTGATGAGTGACAAAATAATACAGTTTATGTTGTAATTATAATGTAAATGAAACATTGCAACATTTAATAGAGCATATTTAAATTTGGAGAATTCAACACCAATACGGAATAGTGTCAATGGGCTGCATTCACCAAACACATTTTTTTTTTTTTTCCACTCTACATTCTTCCTGGGAAACTAATTTATTCCATCATTTTAACTAACATCCACTGTGCTAACAACACTCAAATTCATAATTCTTGCCCAAGCCTTTCCCCTACCATAAGATCTGTATATCCTACTAGAAATCTCTATCTAGATATCTAACAGGAAACATAAACTTAACATACATAAAATCAAACTCATCAGTTTCTCAATAAACATCTGTTTTCTCCTATATATCCTATTTTGTCCCTATTTAAAAAGTTAAAAAGCTAGCCAAAACCAGTTTTGCTCAGTGGATAGAGCACTGGCCTGCAGACTGAAGGGTCCCAGGTTCGGTTCCAGTGAAGGGCATGTACCTTGGTTGTGGGCACATCCCCAATTGATCGATGATTCTCTCTCATCGATGTTTCTAACTCTCTCTCTCTCTTTCTCTCTGTAAAAAATCAATAAAATAGATTAAAAAAAAAAAGTTAAAAGGCTAGAAAACTAGAAAATTGGCTTAATACTCATCCTTCTACATGCAAACAAACATCATACTCTGGGTTATCAAAAAGCAATTCTAAGCTGAGTTACATGTCTATATAAATGGGTAAGCTCATGTCAGATGAATCTTCCTGCACATAACAAGTATTAACTCTGAATAAAGTATGAAAGAGTTACTGAAGACACGGAAGAGTGAACAAAGGCAGGCATATACTGGGGAAAAAAATCAACACTTGAAAAAAGTGAACATCATGAGATGGGTATCTTCCCCCAAACTTACCCCTAACTCCCAAACCCTTTTTAAAAAACCAGAAGATGAGCATTGGGAAACTACAGCTACTGGAAGGTCAGAGAGCCTCCAATTTGTTATACAAACAGATTAAATGTATGGCATGAGTAGAGCAAGCTCTAAGAATTCCAGCTAAGGCCTAAAAAAATGAGTGACAGTGGAGCTGTCAGCCACTTCAAGGGGCAGAGTTTTGCAACTTGAAGTCAAAGTTAACTCTTTGCTTTAGAAAAATCAAAACAACCCAATACTCTTTGGAGGAACATAACAGAAATAATAGAGTCCAAAGTTTCTATAGTATATCATTCATAATATCTAGGATATAATCCAAGATTACTCAATATATGAAAAAACATCTTCCTCTTTGACAATGGATAAATTCATAGAGACTAATTCTGAGGTCAGCCACATGAATAGATAAGAACTTGAAAGCAACTATTTTAACTATGTTTCAGAACAAAAGAAAATATGCTTATAATGAAAAAAAAAATGAAAATCTCTAAAGAAAAACTATAAAGAAAAAGAATGTCTAAATTTAAATAATAAATATCTGGAATAAAAAATTTACTACATGGTTTTGACAGTAGAATTAAAAATAACAGGTAAAAGTGAACAATAACAAAGGTTATTATCCCCTGCCCCTCCTAAAACATCCTTTCATATAAAATTATGTCTAAGCTTAACAGAAAACCAAAGGAATACAGTCCATAAATTAGTTTGGAAAAATGTATGAGTATGGAATGTATTTTATTAACAGATATGGGGGAAGGAGAAGACAATAGAGAAAAAATACAAACGGTACATATCAAGAGACTACAGTAAGATTTTAAAAATACATATTTTAATTGGTTTTTAGAAAGGAAGGGAGAGGGAGACAGAGAAACATTGATGTGAGAGCAAAACATTGATCAGCTGCCTCCAGCTTATCCCCTACCAGGGATGTGTCCAGATCAGAAATTGAACCAGGATGACGCCCAATCAACTGAGCCATACTGGCCAGAGCTACAGAAGATTTTTTAACTGTTAGGATCAATTAACTTCTTAGAGTGTAATGATCCCACTTAAAATAGATTACACAGTTAAAAAGCAAGCTAATGGCGATAAAGAATCTATAAACTTACACATTCACCTAACCTGGTTTGCTGCTTGCTTTAGTACTCTTTAAGGTAGCTGGTGGTGTTGGGAGGATCTTTGCAGGTGTATATGTATTTAAAGATGTTTTTCCTCTCATTACTGAACTGGGACGTGAAGCTGTGGAGGCTGAAAAAAACAAATAAAAAATAGTGGTAATTCAATAATTTCCTGTCAATTCTATCTTTACATTTTAGAAAATTTCTTATGACATGTTTCACAGTTGTATTTTTTTACACAGTAAATAATAGGGGAAAACTGATAAGACATGGTTTTCAGACTAAATTCAGCAAATCCCTCTTTCCTATAGGACCTTTTCTCATACTCTTAGTCAAACACATGTTCTATTTATATTGTAAACAATAAGCATTTGACAGTATTCTCCAAGGAATGCCAATAAGAATAGAGCAACAGACAACTTTATTCTGTCCTAATAGATACTTAAGGGATGACAGCTGACAGCATAGTTTTATTGACTGGTAACAGAAAACAGAGTCCCAAACTGTTTTTCTCTCAAAAAGATCAAATAGAGACTCAGAAATAAATAAGCACGATAGACTCATCTTTAAACTATCCTATTTAAGGGCTTGGAGATCAACTCTCCCCAGTGATACCAACAAGAAGCAAGGTTTAACAACAAGACTGCCCACACAGTCCACAAAGGGCTGCACCAAGACTGTCCACCTCAGGAAACTGGGAAGGCTGAGCTACTGGGCCCAGCTAGGACACCTAGCACACAAAACTACTCCATCAACTCAGGGAAGCAGTTAAAATGCAGAGAAGAGGCAGGCCACAAAGGAAGGAAATGGAGGAAAGCAAAAGAATGAACATAGAGTTCAAAACCACAGTTATAAGGTTTTTCAAGAATTGCCTAGAAAAAGCCGATAAAATAAACGAGACCTTTGAAGATATGAAAAGGGATTAACTAGAAATAAAGCTTACACTGACTGAAATAAAAATATTATACAGAGTCCTAAAAACAGAATGGAAGATCGCAAGAATCAAGTCAAAGATTTGGAACACAAAGAGCCAGAGGACACTCCTCTGCAGAAGCAAGAAGAGAAGAGAATCCAGAAAGTTGAAGATAGTGTAAGAAGCCTCTGGGACAACTTCAAGCAAACCAACATCAGAATTATGGGGGTCCCAGAAGAAGAGAGAGAGCAAGATACTGAAAACCTATTGAAAGAAATAGTGACAGAAAACTTCCCCCACCTGGTGAAAGAAAGAAACTTACAAGTCCAGGAAGAGCACAGAACCCCAAACAAAAGGAACCCAAAGAGGACCACACCAAGACACATCATAATTAAAATTCCAAGAACAAAAGACAAAGGGAGAATATTAAAAGCAGCTAGAGAAATACAGTTAGTTACCTATAAAGGAGCACCCATATGACTGTCAGCTGATTTCTCAACAGAAACCATGCAGGCCGGACGGGAATGGCAAGAAATATTCAAAGTGATGAATAGCAAGAACCTACAACCAAGATTACTCTATCCAGCAAAGCTATCACTCAGAATTGAAGGCCAGATAAAAAGCTTCACACACACAAAAACAAACAAACAAACAAACAAACAAACAAAAAAACTAAAGGAGTTCATCACTGACAAACCAGAATTATATGAAATGCTGAAAAGTATTCTTTAAGAGGAGGAAGAAGATAAAGATAAAAATTATGAACAACAAATACGTAACTATCAACAAGTGAATCTAAAAGCCAAGGGAATTAAAAAATCTGATGAACAGTATTAACTGGTGGATATAATAGAATCAGAGGTATAGAAAGGGAGTGGACTGACGATTCTCAGGGAAAAGGAGAATGGAGACTGCGGGAAGAGACTGAACAAAAATTGTACAACTATGCCGAAACCGGTTTGGCTCAGTGGTAGAGCGTTGGTCTGCGGACTGAAAGGTCCCGGGTTCGATTCCGGTCAAGGGCATGTATGTTGGTTGCGGGCACATCACCCACCGGGATGTGCAGGAGGCGGCTGGTCGATATTTCTCTCTCATCGACGTTTCTGGCTCTCTATCTCTCTCCCTTCCTCTCTGTAAAAAATCAATAAAATATATTTAAAAAAAAATTGTACAATTATGGATGAGGACAGTGGAAGGTGGGGAAAGGGCAAAGAGTGGGGTAGGAACCTGGTGGAGGGGAGCACTGGAAGAAAAAAAGAGGAACAATGGTAATAATCTGAAAAATAAAGATCTATTTTTAAAAAATAATAAAAATAATTATTTGTGCCAAGAAAAAATGCAGGAAGATAAAAATAAAATAAAATAAAATAAACTATCCTATTTGAGAATAAACTAACTAGATTACAATAATTAAATAAACCATATTGTCTTTCTATATTACCCAGCTAAGATGTATATTCATGCAAGGGAATTGTGTAGATTGTGTTAACTTCTAGCTCTAATTTATCTAGTTGGGATTCTCACACCTTTTCCCTCAATCTGATACTATCAGTACCCCATTATAAACCAGCTAGTTACCACAAAAGTAATTTTGTCCTAGGCGAGAGAAAAAAAAAAACTTTTGTAATGATAGAAGATGAATGTTTTTTTCCTTGTACCACCACACAATTAATATAGTTCTATATTATGATGGTTCTTCCTTGACAAATTGGGGAATTAAGTATAAATAATATAAATACAGGATGGGGAAAAATAGGTTTACAGTTGTGAGTACATGAAACACGTACTCATTTATTACTACATTATTATTTATTAATTATTGTACTTTTTCTATATGAACAACTATAAACCTATTTTTGCCCCACCCTGTATATTGTGACTACTAAATATTAATTCTGCAACTACATTATAAATACAGGATTCAGATGCTTCTATCATAATTGGCATCCTATTTGAATATTCAAAAACAATAAGTATCCATACATTTTAGAGGACCTGAGTTATAATCTTGCTTGATCACTAATTGGTTGATTTCTTTAGCAGTGTCACTCTTAAGTGTTTTCCTTTAAACAGTAACCTTTTCTCAAATGTTAAATAAAATGCATCAAAGCAAATACTCTAGTTGAAGGAGCCCTGAAAGACTCATTCAGTACCCCTCTTTCTCTGGAGCTTCCAGAGAATATAGTTTGAAGACTAATGAGCTAAATTAATTCTAAAGTTCACCCAATTCTATGAACTGCATTAACAATATTTACTTTCTTACTTAGTTCCTTTAGTAAGTAATGGCATGAAAATTTAAGAGAGCCACATGAATTTGACTACATTTTGTATCCATGACACAGAGGAGAGTTTACTAGAACTGGAAAATGAATTTAATATTCTTCATTTATTTACCTCAGTATATACTCTGATGAACTAAATTCACTAACCACAGATATAAAGCCATCATAAAATAACAGCACCACACAATAAACCTTCAAAAATGACCTTTTTATACATATTTCACCAAAATATTTTCCAAAACAAACCCATTATTACTACTGCTATTATCTTTAAGTCCTTCTTTGAAAACCTTCTAAATAACATTGATACCTACTCTATGTTCTTCCATTTCATATGTAATTTTTTAAACTAAAGCCTACTTCTCAAAACTTAAAGTGAAATATTTTAGATCATACCAAGATTCCTCTGTTTCAACTAATGACTGAAAGTTGATCTCTACTACCAGAAGCAGAGGAAAAGGGAAAGGCCACTCTACTGTAGAAATGCAGGGGCACCATTTGGATAGAATACCATGTGAACAGAATTCTCTCAAATAGCACATGTGGTGGCCCAGGAAGGGAAGGAGAGTAACAGCAAGATATGAAAGAGGTTTTCATTTCAAGATCTCTGGCTTCATTCTTCCAAGAAACATATTTATAGCATTTTGCTTACAAAGAGAAAAATGGTGCACACAGGAAATTTGTAATTTTTCTAAGATATTACTAGAACTAGCAGGTTCTTAACTCTAAGCAGAGGATTGTCTCCCAAAACTAATGCATCTGACACTGGAAATTTCAATGTGCTGAAAGATCTCATTGAGCTGAGAATGACAATAGCCAACTGATTTCTAACACCTAAAATGTAACCCTGAACATCTCCTAAAATGAAATCCCTTAGAATAGTACTGCAAGATGTTTAAATGTTACCAAAATATGTTTTCTCAAATGGTAAGTTTTGGAAAATCTGGGTACACGTTTCCTTACATTAGAACCTTAGTTGTTGTAACTATACCTCCAAGTGGGGCTGTAATTCCAAGAGGTATAGTTAAAACAGCTAAGGTCCTTCTGTAAGGAAATCTGTATTATAGAAGATAAGACAAAGTTTCCAAAACTCAATTAGCCATAAATCCCTTTTTATCTCACACACAAACCAACTTCTTCAGAATGTTTTCTGAAGAACATAATTTGAAAAAAATGTTATTAGTCATTTTCTTCTTAGTCAAAAGTTCTTTCTAAATCAGTATGAGTAATTACCATGGGCATGTGTGCATGTATGGGTTAATGTAGATGGAATATTTTACAATTTTTTAAACGTTCATTATAAAATGACATATAATAGAAATGTGAAAAAAAGACCCTGACTCTATATTATGCTGTTGACTTCTATTGCTAGGCCTTAGATTTTTTTCCTCCTTTTTTGTACAAAAGTTTTGAGAGGAGTCAAAAAAAGTGGTATATTACATAATACAACAAAGAATTCCAAATAATGCTACCTTACACTGCTTTCTTTCCCAAAATTCTATTCGCTACCACTACTTGGGTTTGTTTTATAATTTTTTTATATTCAAATAATATCTATGTCCCCCAAATCAAATAACAATAATAATTTTCCTACAGATCTCAGGGGCCGTCTGTGGAACTTCACTTGATGGAGAAGCAATGGAAGCAAGAAATTCATCCACCTGCTTTAAAGACAGGGCATTGTGAAGAGTTTCTAGAGGACAAATAGATGGCACCATGGAATACAACTCAAAGCCTGGAAAACAAAAGCAAAAACAAAAGTTGGATATTGAAAAAATCAGTAATTAAAAAGGAAGCGGGGCATTGTTTTGACTGGACAGTTTAGGTCTTTGTAGTCTAGCACATGCAAACACACGAATCTCTTAAGTCATTACACCAGATGCTATGCAACACAGGCCTGGAACAAGATGTGACAGAGATTTCATTTTAAAGTAATCACATAGTACAGCATGCACACAGTTTCATTCCATACTTTCATAAAATCTAAAAATAATACTTAAAGAAAAATACCTGGGGAAAAAGAGAAAAAATTATAATTTTTCAGTATTTTACATTTTAACAGCAATTCTATTTGAAAGGTGGATAAGCTGATGCCAGGATGCTAAAGGTAATTTTTTTTTTTGAAAAACAATATGTAATTACTTGCCAAGAGAGACTTTATAGACTTTTCTAGTCTTACCAAGGCCAACAATACTCTCTAATGTGAACCCAAAAGAGTATTAACCTATGCTGAGATTAAAATTCCAGAACATATTTCACCCATCTTTAATTAATTAACACAATAATTCTATTATTGGAAATTGCTAGCTGGGTAAAGTTAGGTCAAGTAAAAAGCAATATAAAATATACATGTTTGCATTCAACAATGGCTCAGAAATACAAGAATTTCATGAAATAAACCATGCAGATATGTGTTAATACCATCAGTAAAACAATTGTTTAAATATAGAGTTTTCTTTTAAAACAAATAGGATTTAGATTATTTGCCTTTTATAAAAATGTCTTGTCTACATATTCAACTGAATGGATTTTAAAATTGCTTTCCTATACAACCAAAATAACAAGTCCTTTTGCAATACTCTTTCAAAAACACAAATTAATTTTCTTCCAAAGAAAATATTTTTAATACTTAAGTTTTATATTAAGTCTAATATATCAATTAAAAAATAAAAATTAAACTCAAATGGGCTATAAAATTATGCATCTATAATAGGTATGTGCTCATTTTAACACTGGCATATTTACTTAATTTTGGGAGAAAACATTGACCCAAGAAATGCTTAATTCTTAGCTGGACTAGGAAAAATTTGGTTAAAAAGAATTTAACTTTCCTATAAATATAACCAAAGGATTAACAAAAACTGGAATGTCTGATTTTCAGGTGCAAACCAAAGTATGACAGAACATACATGTACTTTAAAAAAACAAACCAACAACTATAATACCATAAGAGCAGCTAAAGCACCTAAATTAAACACTAAAGACATTAAGTTTGCACAAGTATTACTTTCTTTTTTTTTTAAGTACAAGATTCATGCAAATAAGCACTAACCCTTTCTTTTGCCATTAACACTGTGGTTTTTAACCTTTCCTTAGAATGTTTATAAGTCTTCAGTAACAACTATTTTCCTGCATTTGCCTATTAGACTTTATAACAGGCAAATGGCAACATAATCACGTTCTTCTGGACTACAATTTCCCCCATTTATCTTCAGTAAAACATTTCCTTTAATGCACCATGAAAGGGTTAGCGCAGCAATTTAAAAAGCCACCTGCTGTCATGTTTAGAAGCTATGAAAACATACCACTGAAGCCTAGAAATTCCACAGAAGAAATGAACCAGCACCTACAGAGGTTTAGATGTTCAGCACAGAGGCCCAGATAATAAGGTAAAGTACTGTCAGAAGATAACTTGATTCACCACGTTCCTTGAACTAAAGATGGAGGCAGGGGTAAGTCCATGATATATGTTAAGATGGAAATAACATGAAAGTTAGGAAAAATAAAAAGTGAAAGAGTCAAATGACAATTCAAGGACAGATCAGACAAAACAATATAAAAAAGAAAAAAAGGACTCAAATATTTCTTGAGTTGAATGAAATGCATTTTATATGGATTAAGTTTCACAATGTGTGGACTATCCACATTCTTTAAAAGCCTAAGTCAAAGAAATATAAAATTATTATACTTCCTGTTAAATCTAACAACAGTACTTTTTTTTTTTTTAATAGCTTCAATAAACAGATTACTCCTTGCAATATAAAAATTGCAATACTGGCTATTAAGCACAAGCATTCTGCAAAAAAACTATATTCAGTCTTAAATCTGCAAGGTCTCTTAGAATTTTATGACTTCTCTTTTTCTTGTGATTTTGGTTCTCATGCAGGTTCTTTAGAAGCTGAAGTTGTATCAAGTAAAGATCGTTTTCTTCAAAAAGTAGCATTTATAATAGATAGCTACAATGGAGGGAAAACACATTAAGCTTTGAGGTTACATTTTTACTTGATGAGGATGAGATCTTATACAACCTTCAAGAAGTATTAGTGCATTGTTATTTAGGTGTGCTATTAAATAACAATGCACTAATTATAAACTTGTGTTCAATCCTTTAGTTTCATACAAGTTTTTGAAAGATCTGACTGGAATTTTTGAAATACTTAGTAGTAGTTAAAAAGAAAAAAATGTTCCAAGATAAAAATACCTTTATTCTGGATAACCATAAAAACCTGTATGTTTTCTTTTAAATTCTTAATCCTGAATTATTTAAAAACTAGAGGCCCAGTGCATGAAAACCCATGCACTAGAGGGGGGGTGGAGACGTCCCTCAGCCCGGCCTGCCCCCTTCAGATTCCGGGAGCCCTCAGGGGCGGGAGGTGACCAGTGATCAGGGGAAGGCAATGCCCCATCACCTGTCTGATGCTGCCACTGCTGGTCACGGTTACCTGAGCCTTGGGCAGCCCTGGGCAGCTGGGCAGCCACCATCAGAGGCTTGCCTGTGCCTCGGGCTAGCCCTGGGCGGTTGGGGGGCTGAGGGGCCTGGGGGACTACAGAGGCAGCCAGCCTTGCTGCGTGCCTGCTGCCCTGGTGGGGCTGAGGGAACTGGGTGCTGCCATTTTGTGGTTGTGGGCACCGCCATCTTTGAGGGCAGGGCAGTCAGTTAGCACATTCCCTCCTTATTGGCTATTGGTACCACCATCTTTGAGGGCAGGATAATTAATTAGAATATTTCCTCCTTATTGGCTGTGGGTGCCACCATCTTCAAGGGCGGGACAGTTAATTAGCATATTCCCTCTTTATTAGATAGGATGATCAGTAAACATTCCCTCTTGCCTCATAAAAACAAGTTCCATGTAAAAAAGCTGTAGCGGTGCAACAATGTGGTGGATAAATAATGGCCACAAAACACTTTCCTGTTCAGCCTCAAAAACTCAATTTAATTGAATTGGATTTCCAGATGTTTAGCTTAGTCTTCTTCCTATCAGTGGTTTTCCAGATTTTAACAGAAAGCAGTGGTACCAAAAGAAACTGGTTGCTTGACAACAGTAAACATGTAAGTGAATGCTGGATGAAATTTTCAGAGTTTTCCAGACCAAGTCGGGTTTTGCTTCAGACAAAGAGCTAGGGATAAATGATGCCACACAGTGAAATCCACATCCTCTGGTTCCCAAGAATGTCTCAAAGATACATCTCATTTGGTTATTTGATGAGTGTGGCTCTGTATTTGTTAAATAGCTCAATAAACAACCATGTGTTCAAAAAAAAAAATTAGGAACAAAAACAAAAATTATTATGAATTAATAAAGAATACTAATTTAAAAAATTTTGTGTAGACAGATCACCTCAGAAAATTAGAAGAAATTTTCAGGTGCTGATTTAGTATTAAAACTCATCATCATTGTGTTCATTTAAAGTCTGATGAGTAGTGTTAAATTATTGTGTAAATTAAAGCTAAAAAGAGGAGCCAGCCAGTATCAGTACTTTGGGTGAATTATAAGCTGGAATTACATGCCAATTGAAATTAAGGATGGATAAATGAATGATACTGTATACCCCAAATATTGAAATAAAATAAAAATAAAAAAAAAGGACGAAGCAGGGGAGTATCTTTTAAAATAAAAGAAAAACGTACCATTGGTTGGGTGTCGAGCAAATGAGATAGAAAACCTTTTAACAGCAGAACCGCGTGTGGCGTCTGAGAAAGAGAAAAACAGGTACCTGAAATCGTAACAGCTACCAAAAGAAGGACACTTAAAAAAAAGGGGAAAAACAAATATAAAAGGAGATTAGTAATAGGTGACATGCAGAAAGGACAATGAGAGAAGGTAATAAGCCAAATACTAGTTAGAGAAGAAGTAAAATGACTTGATGAAAGAGGCAAAGTATTTAATGAAATAGACAAAAGGAAGAAAAGCAGGATGAGCTGGCAACTCTGACAAATCCATGTTTTACCGACTAAGGTAAATTTGTGGATACATAAGAAAAAGTTTTCAATAAAGCTAATCCTGAAAAGGCTAATTACCACTTCTATGAACAAAAGGGACAAGGTTCCTTGAGCCTCATGTGATTGAGAAAACAACAACATCCTAAATACTAAAACTTAACTTATATTAACAGTACTGAGAGGGTCTCCTTCAACTAGGGATTCTAAAATATTCTCATTCTATGTTTATTTTTATAAATATTGCCAATATTTTTTTTCTATTTATAAGATCAATCAGCAAAAATAAGGGTTAACTATGAACAAAGTTTAAAAGATCATAGGTTTATTCTTTATAATATGGCTTATCAACTATCTAAAAGAATACTACACATGATGCAGTTCTAAATTTCACATTTCAACAAACTACTCATTGAATAAGTACTGTTAAGTCTAACTATAATTCACTGTTTGATGAAAATGGATCCAAGCTGTGGATAACAGAGAGAATTGATAGTCTTTTAGGCAAAGGATTCTAGGATTCCACTTGATTCAGTCAATGGCCTTAGGCTTGCCTTTGTGAAATACTGTCTCCTCTTGGGTGTGTGCGTGGGTGTAGGTATAAGTGTGCATGTGTGCACATACCATCTATGCAGCCAGAAGAGGTCAGCTTTTTACGATGAGTACGAGCATAATCCTGTAGGTTAGGTGCGCTTGAAGAACCCCCGAGCACCGAGGTGCTAAACAGGCCCGCACAGTGAGACCCTGATGGGAGTTAGAGAAAATACATACAACAACGGGTGGTCTTCTATTCACAATGGGAATTCATGCAGCATGCAATAACATGGCTCTTACCACATGTATTTGGAAGTGCCTTGAATAGGCTCACAATTTGCTTGTAATTCAACTTCAATACAATCAACTAGCACTATTTATCATATGTACAAATGAGGGTATTTAACACTGGACAAAATGTTGTTTTTAAAGAAAATAATATGTCCATACAATAATTAGATATACACATACTAAAATATTAAAACATTACTATAAAAATTAATTTAGGATGATAAGGAATTCTTTCAGTCAATTTGCATGAACAGGCCATGGGGGAGAGGAGGTGCTCTGAGCACAAATTAAGCTATATTAAATCAATATTTCTGGATGTATATATTTAAATAATTATCAGTATTTGTTATGATATAAAACAAATCAAAGTTCACTTATTTGTGAGAAGACCAGGTAAAAACAATTACTTTCAGGTCATCCAGGCTTAAATCAATTTAAATTCCAATACTTAAATGACTTATGATCTTTAAAAAGACCCCAATGAAACACATTATTAGCATATAAAACACAGCTAGAATAAATTGATGCTTATTTTGTAGCAGAAGTCTTTACAACTAAGCAAAACTTTTACTACTGGGTAAAGATTAAATAAATCTAGCTACTACATCATAATACATAAGACAAAGTATTTTGAAAATAGTAAAAGCTATCAACATTAGCTATCTATAATTAACTAAAGAAGTATCTTCAAGTAGGTAGGCATCAATAGACAGTTCATATACTTATTATAAAGATCATAGCACATACACAGTTGAAACTTATTTATGCTTTTATTAAACCTAATTAGACAGCTATTTCCAGAAAATAATATGCCATCACCTCATATAGTTTATCAACAATGAGCTTAAAAGCAAATAAGCTTAGAAAGGTCTTTTTTAATGTTGCGTGTTAGCAAAAAACCAATTGTGTTCTATAAGTCAATAAGTAACATTGCTAACTGCATTAGTTTTGCATTGGTTTTTCATAAGAGATGATCAAACGAAAAATTAATAATCCCAGATGGGGTCTTGACTTTTTTTTAATCAGAAAAGAGGGTTCTTTTTTATGTAATAGCTTATTTTCATCTTTATCAACTGGGAAAAGAAGTTGCTTCCTACGTTGAAATATGCTGGAATTTTAACTTACAGAAAAAAAGATTAAAAACTAGCCTTGGCAATTGAGCTAAGTAGTTTATATTGTGGGCATCCAAAAGGGTTATAAAACAAAACTAAAGGCTATTTTTAATTCATTTTACCAAAACTTTGTTGTATATTTCCAGTTTTACAACTCAACAATTCTAAATTAGTGTACATTAAATTAAACAAAAACTAAAGCATAGCAATTGGTCATGCTTTCACCACTGAAGAGTTTTACATGTGTGCAAAATAGTGAGTTTAAGGTTTGGAATACAATTTTTTCAGACCACATACCTACAGCAGGATTCTGTTTCTGTTCCACAAGCGTTCTTGGTGTTCGTAGGTAAGTAGCATTTTCAGTAACAGCCTGAACAAGGAAAACAAAATAAATGAGGTAAAACAGTAAAATGAATTCAAAAGTCCATATTTCATTTGTATCCTGTTCCAGACAGACAAAGGTTAATAAGCTGTATGATAAATATTAGTAGAAATAGATAGAATACGAAGATCATGCAAGATCCCCTTCTCAAGGGAGTTCATTTCATATGAGATCCTTGCAATGAAGTGGTGCAAAGCAGGCATTCAAGAATGAAAGATCATGTATGAAGCAAGACAGATGAAAAGAAACAATTAACAGAATGATATAGTTTCACTTCTCTTACAAGAAACCAAATACCCACTCTTAAACAGCTCCTGTATTTGAAGGGAGGAAAAACAATCACAAACAAAAGAAAAGACAGACAGAGACTGTTGAGCTCACCATACAATTACTGATCCATGCATGGGCTTTATCAGAGTAACCTTTAAATATTCACAGCCTTAATGGATACCATAATCCCTTTTCCTATAATCAAAAGCATTATATTTCCAAAAGGAAATTGCTAAAATTCTCGGAAAAGTCATGTGTAACAGGCAGACCTTCCATTGTAAAAACAAAATAAACAAAAAAACACACACAAAAAGACAAAAACAAAACAAAACAAAACAAAAAAACCTTTTAAAAATCCCAAATGTCATCACAGAAAGTCCTTCAGAAAGCATTTTATTTGACCCATATTGTTGCTGGGCAGACATAAATTGCCCCTCTTATTTTAAAGAGAGCATTAAAACTTTAATACAACTTAAAAAAAACCCAATGTATCCTTTCAATTAGATACTTCCAGACAATGGAATAATGAGAATGATCACTGTTAGATCATCCTGCTAATTAATTCAGGGCCACATAAATTTTGATTATTTTAAAAAATGTTCATTCTCAGCAAATTCCAAGTGGAATCTCATTTTTCAATTATGGGGGAAAGATTATTTTTCTTACCAGTGAATTATGTAATTTTGATTCTGAATGTTTTAAAAGATAATTAGGTCAAAGAAGAATTCTATTCTTTTTAAAATTTTTACTAACAAACTAAAATACCGGGAGTGTGTAATTTATTAATTTTTTAAATCCTGAATATTTAAAACCCTCCCAATACAAAAGATAAACACATGCGATTTAAGTCATTTATTTCCCCCAAATATTTTAGATATCACAAGCATTTTAAAATAAACTCAAAATTAAAAAAACAGAAGGATTTACTCTGATGTAAAATAAGGGATTAGATGTCCTCAAAGATAGCTGTTTGTTGCTCTGAATGCAGGGAGTAAAAATGTTTAATGAAGTAAAGTTTAAAAACCTGTTGCCATGAGCCAAAAATACTGGATGTGAAAGCCAATGATTTGGGGGAGACAGGGGAAGAAGTGATTTGTTCCCCTGATCTGCGTCTTCGACGCCCAGTACCCACACCACTGGTATAATGCAGCCAGGTACCAGTACCCTCTGGGCTAGACACACTCAGGGGGCTCTCTTCCTGGAAGTGAGAAAGGGGGTAAAGAAAAAAAAAAAAAAAAAAAAAAAAAAAGCAGAGCATGCAAAGTTAGATACAACAGAGCCAATGACCAGAAAGAAAAAAAAATACAGTTTGTTCGCATTTGCTTATCAATTTCTTAAAAACTATTAAACAGTAATTTGGGAGCCAAATATTTCAATATCTGAGAAACTGATAGGAATGACATACATACAAACATTTAATTGTATTGTGATAAAAATTGTGAGAATTACCTTATTATCTAAATATACAACATATATTTATACTGCTTAATAGTTATTTCTTCCCTCTAAAACCTGAAGATTTAAAAAATGTTTATCTTAGCAGTTTTAAAATATGAAAGTATTCTGCTTAATTTTGTATATTCAAGAGGTTTTGTGCTATAGCGGGTAAAGTTTCCAACCCAAAGCATGAAAAAATTATGCACAGGGTGAAAGAGATTTCAATGTATATATGTAGAAAAGAAAATCTGTCTGCCAGACACTAAAAAAATGTAACCATTAGATGGATCCAAATGGTACTTGTTTTTACTTTCAACACTATCTGTTTATGTACACCCTCCAAAGATATTTTATAGAGTATAGTAGGCAAAACATGCAGCAAACATTCTCATTTTATATGTTTGCATGTTCAGGTTTCAGACAGTGAGGACAGAGTAAAATCTACTTGCACAAAATGAAGAGAATAGTCTTTTTCTCTGTGTGTCTTTTGGAAGTACAAACTTCTGATATCCATGCAGATGGCAGACGCTGGAAAGAGTCTTCAAGGTTTTACTTGAATAATTTACCTTATGAAAGTAAAAGTTTAGCATGGCATAGAAATAATCTCTTGAAAGCAACTATTTAACTATTTATGAGAAAATATTTATAAATGTATTCTGTGTTTTAAGAGTTAACAAAGGGCAGTGATTTTGTTGAAGATTTTACAAATACAGACGAGTTGCAAAATGATAGCTAAATCAGTGTTTAAGGGTTTTTGGAGTGCAGGTGAAAACTGACTGGTAAAATTCTGAAAATCTGATTAACAGCAGATTGCTTTGTTCAGCAACATCAAAATCACTGCCCTCAAGTGGTAGCTTAGGTTATTTTCTAAAATTAAAGATACTTAAACACAGCCCCAGGTTTTATTATTTTTAATTAAACTATAATAGAACAAATAACCCAAGTTCTACAATTGTTAATCATCTTCTATTATAATTAACCTAAAATATTAAATTAGTGGGAACCCTAACTACTATACAATTTCCATTATAAAATTACAACAATTTATTGTATTGGTAGATGCTTTTTCTAAACATAACTGTCAAATTAAGGCACAGATATATTTGAAACTTAAGAATCATAAGTCACTTATGTTTGTATAATTTGGGGCCATAGAAATGAGCATAATTCTCTTTTTGTTGTTGTTTATATTCTTATTCATCAACTGCTAGATAATGTTATACTCTTAAGACTTGGTACACTTAATTAGCAACAAAATATATTTTCTGCCTTGGCTGGTTTGGCTCAGTGGATAGTGTCTGCGGACTAAAGGGTCCCAGGTTCGATTCCAGTCAAGGGCACATATCCAGGCTGCAGGCTCGATCCCCAGTAAGGGTTGTGCAGGACAGCTTATCAATGATTCTCTTTCATCATTGATGTTTCTATCTATATCTTCTCCCTACCTCTCTCTGAAATTGATAAAAAATACTTTTTTAAAAAGCTTTAAAATAAAAAATAAATATAGATATTTTCTAACAAGTTGATGTTTCTTCTGTGTTAAAGTTAAATTCTTGCTTTATACTTCTACTCATGCATTTAGGAAACATTTGTTAGCACTGATCTCAATCAGTGCTTGAAAAATCATTTGACAAAGAATATAGATAATCTAAAATAATGGCATTTAAAGTAAAAATATATACAGATATTAAAGATTTAAAAAAAATATTATTTATTGATTTTTCACAGAGAGGAAGGGAGAGGAATAGAGAGCTAGAAACATCGATGAGAGAGATACATCGACCAGCTGCCTCCTGCACAGCCCCTACCAGGGATGTGCCGGCGACCAATGTACATGTCTTTAACCAGAATCGAACCTGGGACCTTTCAGTCCACAGACCGATGCTCTATCCACTGAACCAAACCGGTTTGGGCCAGCTAGTAAAGATTTACTTAACAAGCTCATTCCAACTGTTCAACTTTCCTTTTAAATGTTATTTTAGTAGCTATTTAAATGTTATTTTATTATTGAACATAACAATTAGCTTTAGTTATTTAAATGCAGATCTTAACACAAAGGTAAATTTTTCAACTATATAATCAAATTTCAAATTCCTGTATTGATTTTTGCAATCAGATTAACAATTTAGAATTTCATACCTTAATCTACAAGTATCATTGGAATCAGTTGTTGCTGAAGCATCACTGGCAATTTCTCTTTACTTTTAACCAAATATTATTCCTGATACAATATTAAAAAATTATGTCCTACTCTATAATTAAAGCTGTATTTTCTTTTCCGTTTTATTAAAATATAATTAGTTTCCTATATGAAAAACATGCTCTGACACATGCACTTACTTCATTTGTAACCATCTTCCTAGATCTTGAAAGTGGAGACTTCCTGTGTATATGAATTGGGTCTGATACCATAGGTTTGAACAACAGCACACCTCGATCAACCTCATCTTTTTTAGAAGTATGTGGTTCGTCGTCATTATCAATTTTAAAAGGTCGCTTGCCTTCATTCTGTGGGAAACAAATATACCATATAAAGTTCAGATAAAACAACAATCTCTTCTGATGAACAAATTGTACCACCAATTGGTATTGTCACTGAAAATACATATACAGGTTTGTTTATTCAAGTAAATTAATAGTAATTAAATTCTTACAACAGCCTCGTATTATTCTGGGTATTGTGAGACAGATGACAGAGTAGCTGACTTTAACAAATATATATACTCTATGGAGAAATTAAACAATAATCCAACAAAAAAGCCATATAAGACAAATTGCCCAATTAAATTCCATTATATGCCCAAATATAAATGAACAACAATAATACTGTAAAGAAGAGTTGTTATACAGGAATGGTATCAACCCAAGCATGAACTAAACTTCATTCAAATTTATACATTTCAGAATACTTAAATTCTATGCCAAATATTTCCACCAAATGGGATGACTGCATACATAAACAACAATCATTTGATGGATCATTAAATATTTACTGAGTGGTACCATTTGCCAGGACACAGATTAATAAAATACAATCTCAGATTGCAGGACTCTCACAGTATATATAGTGTAGGAGATAGATAAGTTAAAAAATTTATATCAAATACCTGTCTATAATACAATAAGTAAATTGGGGCATACTTATACAGTAAAACACATATTTTAAAGCAATAATAAAAATAAACTAAAACTAAATACAACTATATCAACAAATTTCATAAACATAAAGTTAGACAAAAGAAGTCAAACAGAAATACATAAAAACCCTCATCAAGCTAAGTGGTATAGAAAATAAAGAGGAACTTCTTTAACTGGATAAGAGATATCTAAAAACTTGAAATAATCAACACAGTCAACAATAAGTCACTGAAAAACAAGAGTGCCGCCGTTACTAAATCTATTCAACATTTTACTGGACTTTTGTCATCATTACAATCATATACTTAGAGATACAATCATATACATAGAAAATCATATACAAAGAGATACAACCATATACATAGAAAATCCAAATGACTCTCTGGATAAATTATTAGAATGATCAACAGTATTTAGTAAGGCTGCTAGTTATAAAATCTTTATACAGCTGAAACCGGTTTGGCTCAGTGAATAGAGCGTCAGCCTGCGGACTAAAAGGTCCCATGTTCGATTCCGGTAAGGAGCATGTTCCTTGGTTGTGGGCACCAACCAAGTAGGGAGTGTGCAAGAGGCAGCTTATGTTTCTAACTTTCTATCCCTCTCCCTTCTTGTCTGTAAAAAATCAATAAAATATATTAAAAACTAAATAAAATATTTATACAAAAATTAGTTAAATTCAATATGACAATAAAAGAAAATGAAATTTACATAATTTATGATGGCATAAAAATATAAAGAACTTAGGAATTAATGTGACAAAACAGGTCCAGCATTTAAAAATATCTTAATTTTATCAAATATATAGTATCTAGCAAAAGATATATTAAGTCCTTGAACTAGAAGATCTAACACTGTAAAATTGTTACTTATCTCAAAATTGATTTACAGAGTTTCTGTAAATCTCAAACATTCCTCTTCACTTTAGTTTAAGAATGAATAAGGATGCCTAGTATCAACACTTCTATTCATTATCATAATGGTCTTAGGCAGTAGCCCTTCACCAAAAAGCATATCCAAATGGCCAATAAACATGCTAAAAGGTGCTAATCTTTACTTGTCATGAGGATAATGTACATTTAAGCCACAATGAGATAGCACTACATGCCTCCCAAAATAGTTACATTAAAAACACTGCTCATATTTAGTATGTAAAAGGATATGACAATATCTTTAGAAAACAATTGGGAAAACTATTTGACTGTATCTTCTAAAGTTGAATACATGCATATCTTATGATTTAACGATTTACTTCTAGATGCTAAAAAAAATATGTACATTGTTTACCAAAAGATTTGTAAAATACTGTTCATAAAAACATTCATCTTCATAACTTGAATTAGAAAAAAAATGATTATCCAAGTGTAGTGGAGTAACACATTCTACTATATTTATTTAATAGAATCCTACATGGAAACAAAAACAAAGAACAGAACAGATGAATCTCACAAACTTAATGGAAGAAAAAGCCAAATCTACTATTCACCCCCCAAAAGCATATATTTTGTGATTTCATATATATAATATTAAAAAATAAGCAAAGTTAATCTATGACAATATGTACCTTTGGGGAGAAGACAGGGAGGTTGTGATAAAGGGAGGGCATAATCTGATCTTGTGGAATAATGATACTGTTATAGTATGACTTGGCTGGCTGTTCAATTGTGTTCATTTTATAATATATCATTAAGGTATATACTTATGATTTATGACTTTTATCAATATGTATTATATTTTGGTACAAAGTTTTAAATTGAGTATGTATTTAACCTTGTAAGGTTACTATAAAGATTAAAATGCAATTCATGCCATGTGCTTAGCACAGTGTTTAGCATGAATTAATCCTCAAGTAAAACAACAATAAAAACCCAAACCAAAACAAGTATAGTTTTTTATCCATTCTATATACTGGTCTTAAAAATCCAAAATAATCTAAATAAAAGATAAAATTCAACCATGCCTAAAAATGTCCACCTAAATCATAATTTAAAAATGTAAATCATCTTGCTACTCACTACTTAAGAATTGTAGCACATGATAGAAAATTCTTTTAGAAACTTCATGTAAAGCTAACACTGCAGTGCTCTCTTGTGGTCACCAAGCTCTGAAGTTTCAGCATCATTACCTCTCTTGAAGCTGGTCTATATCCATAGCCGGATGGTAAATTTTTGTCTTCTTCACATCCTTTGGCTCCTGGACTAAAGTGTAATTCAACATGAAAGCGTTCTTCTGAAGTGAGATCCTAAAAAATATCACAGAACATCTGAAAAATAAGAAACTTAAAACTATTTATTTACCTTGGGTAACACATACCTATCAGTAACTTGGTTACCTTGTTAGGATCCTCATAAAGCATGATAACGATCTGAGTCATGTAGTTGAGCTCATTGACAACATTTAAATAATCCATAGCTCGTTTCCACTGTTCATCCTTTGATTCCTAAACAAAAAATATATGGAAAACATTTTCTCATTTCGTATTACTTGAAGTAACTTTATATTTATTATGATAGTTTGCTTAATCTTGAGTGATATCACAAAGAAAGGTGAATATTTATATGTACAAATCTTTTAAAATAACTCTACTATATTTAAGCTTAAGTAAATTATTTAAAAAATATCTTATCAACCTGGCTGGCATGGCTCAGTGGTTGAGCATGGACCTATGAACCAGGAGGTCATGATTTGATTCCCAGTCAGCGCACATGTCCAGGTTGCAGGCTTGATCTCCAGTGGAAGCGTGCAAGAGCAGCTGATCAATTATTCTCTCTTATCATTGAGGTTTCTATCTCTGTCCCCCTATCCCTTCCTCTCTGAAATTAGTAAAAACATATTTAAAAAAATAAAATTAAAAAACATCTCATGAGAGGTATTAGAAACTCTTGTAGTAACTTAACATAAGGCTTTCTGACAAGATGGCAGAGTAGGTAAAAGCAGTATTGTCCTCCTCCACAACCACATCAACATTATAGCTAAACTACCAAACAGTCATCATTGAGAACCACCTGAAATCTAGCTGAACAGAAAACCTATCACTGAAGAAGCCATGTAGAGAATGGTAAGAGGGATGGAAACACAGAACAGGCTGGTCCAACACACAGGTGGCAGTTAAAAATCAGTAGGGCCCAGCCTCTGTGGCTGTTGGTTGAGCATTATCCCATGCACCAGGAGATTGCTGGTTAATTCCTGGTCAGGGCACATGAATGAATGGGTTGCAGGTTCATTTCCCAGTATGGCCATTCATATCTCACATTGCTATAATGCCAAGCCACTAGACCAGCCACTCGCCACCTAAGCACTACTCTGAAGCAAAAGCTGCATCTGTGTGTGTTAAGTGTTTATATATACATGCAAAGATGTATATGTATTTTTTTCAAACTTGATAAAACATAAATTAGCATAGCATCGCTAAGTTTCATCAGATGTAAATTATAAATAATGAGTTTAAGTTAAATACTACACTATTAGTAAGAACATCATGTAATACTTAATTTACTGTTGCAGTTATATTTTGCTAGGTTTTAATAAAGAGATAAAATAAAAATTAGTAGCATACTCCTGAACACAATATTTAAGAATTCATAAACGCACACACACATATGAATTAGAGGCCCGATGCATGAACTTCGTGCAAGAGTAGGCCTTCCTTCTCCCCTTATGCCGGCACTGGCTTCCCTCTGGCACCCAGGACACAGGTTTCCCTCATAGCCCCGGCTTTATCTGGAAGGACATCCAGTATAATTAGCATATTATACTTTTATTATTAGACTAGAGGTCTGATGTACAGAATTCGTGCCTGGAGGGAAAGGGGGGGGTGCCCCGGCCCAGCCTGTACCCTCTCACAGTCTGGGAGCCCTCTGGGGATGTCCACTGATGGCTTAGGTGGGGGAGTGAGCCTAGGCCATCAGTTGGACATCCTTAGTGCTGCCTTGGAGGTGGGAGAGGCTCCTGACACCGCTGCTGTGCTGGCCAGCCATGAGCCTGGCTTTTGGTTGAGCGGCACTCTTCAGGAGGGCACTGACCACCAGGGGCAGCTCCTGCGTTGTGTGTCAGTCCCCTGGTGGTCACTGTGCATCATAGCTACCGGTTGTTCCACCATCAGGCTTTCTGACATCCCCAAAGAGTCCCAGATAGCAAGAGGGTACAGGCAAGGCCAAGGGACCCCACTGGAGCATGATTGGGGCCAGGGAGGGATACAGGAGGTTGGCCAGCCAGGAGGAATTATGAGAGGGCTCCAAGATATGTCTGGCCTGTCTTGCTCAGTCTTGATTGGTCAGACCCAGCAGCAAGCTAATCTATGGGTCAAAGCATCTGCCCCCTGATGGTCAGTGAATGACATAGCGACTGGTCAACAAGTCAACTGTCTGTCTCCTGGTGGTCAGTGCATGTCATAGCAAGCAGTTGAACAGCCTTAGCATATCATTAGCATATTATGCTTTGATTGGTTGAACGGCCAACCAGACAACCGGACACTTAGCATATTAGGCTTTTATTATATAAAAAATTACATAGGGTATGCATTTTTAGCATACAATATCTTTATGTTTTATTAGCTATTACAGACTTAATTTGGTTTTTACTTTTCAAACATGCATCATTTTGCTTTCAACATGGTGAATGGTGTATTAAAAAACAAGCAAAATCAAGTGCAGGTTTTACTGACTTAACTTTGAATATTTGCAATTATCCCTTCATAGATTATTCATAACACTAAATATCCCTTCCATGTTGCCAGGATACAGAAATTTAAAAAGAATATTGAATCACTTTAAAGAAATTTAGAACAATGTATTTAGGAGAAAAAATATTTCTATTGTTCATGTATTAACCGATTATTTTCATTCAAGGCCACTGGATATTATGTTTTATATATGGGAAATTACATCTATGGAATAATAAAATATACATATATCCTTCTTTCCCCCCAGTTTCTGGAACAGAGCTCCTAAAACTCTTGTCATTTTCTAAGTGCTAAGAACACTTAGAGCATCTTTTGTTCTAACATTTGCTCTTTGAGCTCCTAAATCCCTTGGAATTTTCTTGGTAATAGGAATATCTTGTTCTAATGAGATGGTTCATTTTTAAAAAAAAATTTAAATTCTTTATTGTTTAAAGTATTACACAAGTATCCCCCCCCCCACATTAAACTCTTCCTGACCCCTCTGAATCCCCCAGTACTATGCCATTACCCCCCTGTCCCCCTGTCTATGTCCATTGGTTATGCTCACATGCATATATACAAGTCCTTTGGTTGATCTCTTAACCCCCAACTTTGGTCATAGGTTAGAGAGTTTGTTCAATGCTTCTATGACTCTGGTTCTATTTTGTTCATCAGTTTATGTTGTTCATTATATTCCACAAATGAGTGAGATATGTGATATTTATCTTTAATTAAGGCTCATTATATGTATTCCCTGAAACCTTACTTAATCTTTTCCCAAACCTTTTTAAAAAACTATTATAGAGGAATAGATTTTACCCAAGCCACATTGAAGCATCAAAACTTTCAACTGGGAAGATATTGAACAAGGTTTTAAGTATATTAGTTACAGGGTCTTATATGGGCAATATGTGTTGGGATAATATTTATAGTTCATTTGGTATAGCATTTAATGTTTACTTTAATAAATACATGTGATGTTTTTTCTTTTATTTGGGAGCACAGATTTTTAAAGAATGGAGTTATGCAGCTTTTGTTTTTGAGAAGTGCATCCAAATACAATATTTATTTAACAAGCTCTAATTCTAACTGCCACCACCTTGATTCAAACTATATCATCTTTTAGATCATCTTTTATATCTACTCCCACCTATGTACTGTCCACACAGTAATCAAATATACTTACTTCCCCTACTTAAAACATTTCAATGGCTTTCCAATCCCCTTGTGATCCAAGGAACTGGCTCTCCAAACTTACCTGTTGCCATCTATCCATCACTCATTATTATGTTCCAACTACAGGCCTTCTATTGGTTCCTATGTCCTGCACATTCTTTCCACCTTCTAAATAAGTGCAAAAGGGTTAAAAGGGGACTACACAGGAGACATATCCCTCCTCTCCAAAAACAATTCCATTGTTATTAGTGAATATATTAGCTCTTGCCTTGCTAATTAAGGACCATGTTTTTTCACTCACTATTTCATTTGTTAAAGTTCCACGAACCTACAATGTTGCAAGGGATGCCACTTTGCTATTCTTTGTTGAAACAAAGAAGGACCCAAAACAAGAGGAAAGAACATATGAATTGGAAAATATGATAGGCACAGAACTTTGAAATAGCCTTGGAGTAACTTGGATAATAACTCAATCTATCAAGTCCAAATAAGAAGATAGATTCAGAATCTAGATACCAAATCTTCATTATTTGAAGGGGTCAATGTGAAGGGGGGGAAAGAACTTATTTTATACTTTCAACAATATTTAATTAAAAAATTACACAGTAAAAATAGTCATTAGTAATTTGATGACAAATTCAAGGAAACATTTGTTAAGTAGACTGGAATAACTTATTCTACTTACATTGCATAAGGCACCATATCGAAGAATAGATAGTAAAGAATGTACATGACTTTCACTGGTGAAATATAATCTGGTACGGACATGACGTTCAGGAGACAGAACACCCCTGGAATACCTAAAGTTAAAAGCAGACTGGTAAAACAACCATATAGTCAAAACTTAATAAGCATTAAAATTATTCTGTAAAATGGAATTTAATCTTACTAGAAGACCCCTGTAAGTAAATCTATCCCTCTTCCAACCACAATTGAAAAATATTTTATTAGATATTTCTTTAACATGAAAATAATTGAAACTGGGACCTCTGAGATTAGTCAAAGAAGAATTCACATTAGTCAAATTCACTGCCGACAGCTCACTGTAGCTCCTCTACTAAAAATAACAGACGTCACAGTACCAAAGAAATTCACAATGTTTATGCTGCTGAATGGGGTAAATGCTTAATTATATGAATAATGACACATATTCCTTTTTCCTTTTCACTTTTTGGAGGAAAAAAAGAATCCTGGTTGGAAGTTAGCTACTAGGAATACCTAGGCAATCCTTATTTCCACAGTGTGCCAAGTGACACATTCCTAATTACTTCACAGAAACATTAAAAAGTAATTTAGATTTGAAGTATACCAAAACAGATAACTATAGATTTAAATACCAGTACAGTCTCTTACACAGGATGGAGTTTATTTACAGTGTCATCATCTTGTGTCCTCTGAAGGTCTGAGCGAATTTTTCTAACTAGAGGAGTACAGTAGCCTTTGGCAATCTCCAGCTTTTCAGCTTTGGTTATACCATATTCCTGAACAGAAACATATGATATTAGAAAAAGAAGTATAATGCCAAAGACCTCTAACAAATGAACTGCTAAATAAAAAAATTGTAATAAGCCTTTTAGAAAAACGATACACAACTTCTAGTTTACATTTCTGTAGCTTTTTAAGTATACTATTCCCAAAACTATTAAGTATAATTGAAATAATTTTTGGTAGGACTGAAAAAAAAAACCACCTAATAATTTCTGAAGAAGGGATGATAAATGGATGAATGTAATATTTATGGGTTGTAGTCCAACTCAATTGGCAGGTTAGGTTTTGATGGATTAAGAATACGAACACTGAAGCACAGAATAGTCAATAAACATATGAAAAGAAATATAAATTAGAACAGATTTTTATCTATTCAAAAGTCAGATTAAAAAGGTTAACAAATTATATAAAGCCTTTGGCCAATACTTTTAAAAGTTTTAATTAGTGGTGGACAAAAAAAAAAAAAAGCAGCCATAAAATTACCAAATTTCATGATATCTATAATTGCTATAGGTTAAATAAATTTATGAGAGATTGTAATATGAGGTATAAATAAAAATTATAATAATAACTCTAATAAAAACTAGTTCAAAGGGGTAGATAAAAAAATGATGATATGAGAAGAGAAAAATCCATGATTGTGTGTGTAGATGGGATAAGAAGAGAGAAAAGGAAGAGGGCAGAAAGTGAGGTGGACAAGAGAGGGAAAACTGAAAGAAGGGAGAGTAGAGAGGAGAAAGAAATAGGCACAACTCTCTCCAAGTACAACTGGGATATCTGAATTTAAAGGCTATTTCCTGCTATCAGGTACTTCCCAGATGGTTAAAGATAAGTATGATTGAGACTGTCTAATAAAGAAAAGGTTGATTGATTACAAAAGGAAGACTCACAATAATGGAACTGCTTGGGGTCATTTTCCTTAAACTAAAGCTTGGTTGATTCAATTACCTTGCCAACATAGATGACAGTGAATTAGGTATGTAAAAGGGCTATAAATGCAATTGTCTATGTACAAGCTAATGAAAGGAAAATGCTGGAATTAAAAATTACCAGCAGAAATTTTTATTGTTAGCAAGGCATGAGGAAACAGATACTCTCATACATAGCTGATCTGGAAGAAAACTGGTAAAAGATTTCTAAAGCTACAGGAATAGTCCCGAGATAAAAACATATGTATAAAAAGCGTGAAAGAAAAAAAAATCCGGATTTCCAAATATGAGAAGTGGTTAAATAAGTTACTGTTACATCACAGCATCCCACCATCCTATATAATAAAAGAGGAATAAGTCAACATGACTGGATCAAGGATCTGCAGGAGGGTAGGGCAGCAAACTACAAGGGGCAGGTGGAGAGTAGGCGGGTCAGCAAGCTATGAGGGGGGTTGAGGGGAGCTACAGGAGGGCTGTACTGATATGAAAAGTTCTTAATGCTAAGTGAAGGGGTGGGGGGGAAATTATATTGCAAAACAGTATGCTTTTCCTGGTTCTATTTTTACAAAGAACATTTGTTATATCTATAAATTTAAGAGAAAAATTATACCTGCAGATTGGAGAGGGTTCAGGCGAGGCTGAGGGACCCCCTCAAATAACTGATTCACCTAAAACTGTTTATATGATATATCTAACCAAACAAATAAATAGTTGCTCTTTCATGCTGGAAGAATTAGTTAATCTCTAATATTTACACAAATAACCACAGGTAAGTTGCATACTGCCTGAGTTCCTAGTTTTCCTTTTTTCTTTTTTTAAAATATATTTTATTGTGTTTTTTTTTTACAGAAAGGGAGAGAAGGGATAGAAAGCTAGAAACATCGATGAGAGAGGAGCATGGATCAGCTGCCTCTGACAAACCCCCTACTGGGGATGTGCTTGCAACCAAGGTACATGTCCTTGTCCATAATCCACCCCGGGACCCAGTCCGCAGGCAGAGGCTCTATCCACTGAGCCAAACCGGTTTTGGCTGAATTGCTAATTTTTCAAAGTTTTTAGGTTTTTCCTGAAGTTTCTGTAAATATTAGCAGAAGAATAATATTTTAATAATTTTTACAGCTTTAAATGAGGCTACTTTTGTTCATAATCTTTGTACTTTTCATGTATTTCATTCTTTTAACTGTGATTCACATTGAAATGTCTGATCCAGTCCAATCTCCCTGGTATAATACACAAATAATCATTTATTAATGGAGATGCCAAAAGGGCATCCAGAACTATTTTCTTTTAAGATATCTTTTACCTTAACTTGTCTTATCACTTACCTTTTTATTATCAATCTGATTCTCTGCTTAACTGCATTTTATTTATTTAAATTCTGATTACTTTATTTTCCTATAATAAGAAGACCCACGAACACCTCTTCCAATGAAGGGTCCTGGGTTCGATTCTGGTCAAGGGCATGTACCTTGGTTGTGGGCACATCCCCAGTAGGGGGTGTGCAAGAGGCAGCTGATCGATGACTCTCTCTTCCATGTTTTTATCTCTTTCTCTCCCTTCCTCTCAGTAAAATATCAATAAAATATATATTTTTTAAAATGGCAAAAAATACGTATCTATCAACAATTGATTTTATAATTCAACATAAATTAAAAATGAACCTAAAGAACAAAATAAATTAATGAATAAAATAGAACCAAAGATCTTATATGCATATATGCATTACCTATGGACACAAACAATAGGGTGGTGAGGACCTGGGATGGGATAGGAACTAGGTGAAAGGGGACAATGGGGGAAGAAAGAGGACAAATGTAATACTCTCAACAATAAAGATTTTTTTAAACAAGTTATTACAAACAAACTATTAGAAAATCAAATAATAATTTCATATAATAAATAAAAGGTTCAAAATATAAATTCATAGTTATTTAGTTTCCTTTTTGAAGTTGTGGGTTTTAAATGAACATGAAAATCAGCTGTCTTTTATCCACTGATAAGACATTTGTAAAGTATCTATACAACACTAAGAAAATTGATTCCTAGGAATTACTTACCTGAGGGATAACAATATCTGCTAATGCCTTTGAAAGACCATATAATTCCATTGTGTCTTCTAACTTCAAGGAACAGTTATGCTGGACATCGTATTTTATACAGTCATATATGTCAGGGATTTTGCTAATGTCATATCTTCCATTCTTTGTCTTAAAGTCTTTCTCCAGCTTGGACCATCTACGTAGCATAAGCTCTAATGTCTCACTATGGTAAAGCTGGATATCTAAAACAACATGACATTTTTAAAATATTAAAGTTAAAAGTCAAATTAAGAATATACTAAAAGATTGATAATTAGCAATTTTTTTTAATGTCAAAGATAAAATTATTAAGGAGCAAGGAAATGTTACGATAGGCATAAGCTATTAACAACCATATATTTAATAGACTTGAATAAAGGTATATATATAGGTTAAAACTCGGGTTTATAAAGAACTTTCCATATGGTACACACGTCAATAGTAAGAAACAGAATAATTATATACAAAACTCTTTGAAGCTAATAAATTTTCAATTCTGAATTTTAACTTTTTTAATATTATCATTATTTTATTAGATTCACATAACTAACAGAGTAGACAGTTATTACAGAAAGGAACCATACAGATTAAATAACTCAAAGACCTACTTTTACTAGTAAGTAATCCAAGATTACAAGGTTGTCCAAGTTATTAACCAAGCTAGTATCAGAACTGGGTCACCTTCTTATTGTTTGCTCTTGCTTTTTATGCTATTTGCTATTGAGCTATTTGGCAATGCTGCAGAATGAACCAAATAAGAACTTTTTTTTTTCATGCTATCAAGGTGGGGGGGAAAAGCAACTAAAACTTAGCTATTTATTCTTTTGCTGGATATATATTAACTCACACCTACATGTAGTATGAGAAGTTTTATTTTTTAAGATTAGTGCACCTTATTTTAAAATGTTTATAGTAACCAAATAGCAATTTGTATTTGTGTTATGCTCTAAGAAAAACATATTTACCTGATGATTTGGGATCTTCCATGCGATGTCTGATTTGAGAAGTCAAACTTTGTATCAAAGAATACACTTTGTCACAGGTCTTCACAGGATTTTTAATTAAATGCATTGATTTAGTAAGAGAAATGCTTCCAGACGGAGTAAGCTACAAATGGATAAAGTATATATTTTACATCTGTTTGTGCACAACTGTCAAAGATAATATACAAAACTGAAGAATAATTCCATACCACAAATTAAAATGGCCACATCATATAGTAATAAGATTAAGAATGAAGCAAAAACCTCAGAATTTCATGTTAAAAAAACCTTAGCTTGAGATCATCTTCAGAGAAAATATGGCAGAAGTACTACAACTTACAATGCCATTTTATTCTAACTTACGTCAACAATTTGTTGACTCAATATGAACAAATGTTGTTCTAACAATTTGTCACAGATTTATTATACATGTAATAACCCTAAGGCTCTATCATTATAATAATTTTTTCTTCCAGTTGAGGTATTTAGAGGTTAAGCCCAAGATCAACCATTGTGAAGAGTGGGATAAAAAAACAGGTAGTCTGGCTATAGAGCTGGTGCTCTTAAACACCATGCTAATTCCTTTGTGATAACATTTTTTACAAGTCAACAAAAGCCATTAAAAACATCATAGTTTCAAATTCCAGTTTTTATACTTAGCTTGGCAAGTTACTTAACTCCATCAAATGAGTAAGTTTCTGCAAATAATAAAAAGTGTAAAGTAGAGTTCTACTTCTCATTATGATGAACTAGTAGTTCAGCTTAATCTAACCATTGTAAATACATATAAATTTTGGGCAAAGAACTTGTATACTTCTGCTTTGAGTTATCTGATAATCTATATAATAAAAACCTAAGCGACCATTACGGCAAAACCACCAGAATGACGGGTCGCTATGATGCACAATGATCACTGGGGGCAGATGCTCAATGCAGTAGCTGCCCCCTTGGTGATCAGTGTGCTCCCATAGGGGGAGTGCTGCTCAGCCAGAAACGGGGGCAGCAGTGGTGTTGGGAGCCTCTCCTGCCTCCACAGCAGCACTAAGGAGCAGCAAGCAGGCGGGTGTTAAGGAGTGAGGTGTCCCGGACATCCCCTAAGGTCACTCCCCATGCACAAAATTTGTGTACCTGGACTCTAATAATATAATAAAGAATTATAGAACCAAAACTCATACAGAGAGTGAATGCGGCATTTAAGGCTGTTTCTGAACTGGAGACAATTGTTGATCTTGAATAGACAGCAGGGAAGTGGAGTAGAGCTTTAATAGTCCTACTAGGCCAGTGGTCGGCAAACCGCAGCTCGAGAGCCACATGAGGCTCTTCGGCCCCTTGAGTTTTTAGCAAAGGTCAGCTTAGGAGCACCCTAATTAAGTTAATAACAATGTGCCTACCTATATGGTTTAAGTTTAAAAAATGTGGCTCTCAAAAGAAATTTCAATTGTTGTACTGTTGATATTTGGCTCTGTTGACTAAGAGTTTGCCGACCACTGCACTAGGCTAAGGGAGCAAAAGTGAAGTCCAGAATTTCCAAAGGTGGAACACTGATAAACTCTGCCTCAGAAAAGTGAGAATGAATCAGAAGCAAACTAATCCACCAGCAAACTGCAGATCAGGTTCAAGTCAACTGCTGATCCAAAAAGATCTGTTCTGAAACTGGATTAAGGCAATCTTAGATTGCTATGTCCAAAGGTATATAGCAAGGACAAATAAAAAATCTTATTGGAAGATGGTAATATTCTATTTATTTCCACTAAGTATTCAACCATAATTAAATGTATTCAGGCACACAAGAAAACAGGACATCATGAATACCAATCAGGAGAATAAACAACAGAAATAGAACTAGATACTCTAAGTAATAAAATTATCAAAATCTAAAAAAAGAGAGACTTCCTATGATCAAGAAGATAAAAATTATCAAAGAATTGCATATTATCAAAAAATGAAAATATTATACTTAAAAAAGAAGCTAACAGAAATTCTGAAATTAAAAAAATACACTGGCTGACTTTATAAGTACATTAGATACAGCCAGAGATAAATATAGTAAATTAGAAATTGGTTAGAAGATATTATTCAGAATAAATCACAGAGAAAAAAGGATAAAAAAAAAATCCAAAGAAAGGATAAGACAAAGTTCTAGCAAGCATATGTTTGGAGACCCAGAAGAAAGTAATAAGGAAAACAAAACAAAACAAAAACTTCTTAAAACTAAAGCCAAAAACGCAAGAATCCTATTAGAAACTATTAGAAGGAAAAATTAAAAAGTAATCTACATCTAGACATAAATTAGAAAAACTGCTGAAAACCAAAGATTAAAGTATGCCAAAACGAGTTATTTTTAAAAATTATCTTCAAATAAAAATTATCTTCAAAGGTGAAATAATAAGATCAACAACTAACTTCTTAAGATAAACACTGAAGCTATTAGATAGTAAAACAACATCTTCAAAGCAATAAAAAAAAGTAAGTGCTATCCTAGAATTCTATACTCAGAAAAAAATATCTTAAGAGGAAAGTTGAAATAAAAACATCTGTAAGCGAAGAAAAAAGAATTCACCATCAATAAAGTGATACTAACAGAATGACTATATTGCTCTCCAAACAGAAAGAAAAAAAGGTAATTTAAGAGATAATTCATAGGTAAATCTAAATAAATATTGCTTTTATAAAAGAGTAACAAAAATAACACGTTGTGGGGTTTAAAATATAAGAATAAAAATAAACAACATTAGTTATTGTATCATGTAAATTGCTAGCTGAGCAAATGTTACAATAATTTGGGGCTTTACTGCTATATAGTTTAAGGACTAATAGTATTGGCATGAATTGGAAGATTATTAAAAGTGCAAAATTCCATTCCCCACTCCAGATAGGATGAATCAGAATCTGCATTTTTTTAACAAGGCCCCAGACAATTCTTATGCAATTTAAACTTTGAAAAGCACTCTTTAGGGTCCTTGCATTGTCCAGGAAGAGAATAAAAGCATGATGTAAACCTTCAACTTTTAGAAGTCATAGAAGCCTACTGCTATTTCTGGGGCAACATCAAAACAAATAGTAAAATGAAACAAAAATGTCAAACTAAGAAAAATAAATAAAGTATCAATTCCCATGAGAGAATAAAACAAAATTCTCATAAGAATTATTTAAAAAACAACTACCCGTATTTTTCCGGCGTATAAGACGACTTTTGAAACAAACAAACAAAAAAGTCAACCGAAAATCGGGGGCAAAAGACCAAAATTGCACAAAAATTACCTGCAGATCTTGATGGCAAAATAAGTCTTTTCTTTGAAGTGGGGGGTAGTCTTATACAGCGAATATAGGCCTAAACCTATGTTTTAACTGTAAAATTAAGGGGTCGTCTTATAAGCCGGAAAATAAGGTATATGCAGATTTTAAGAGAGATACCTAAGAAATACAGTTTCAGAAAGATTAAAAGTAATCTGATATACTATACAAACACCAAATAAGAGAAAAATGACTGTTGTAGCTATATTAATCTCAAACAAAGTAAACTTTGAGGCAAAAAGTACTGATTGAAATATATCTACTCTAAATTTATACACATTTAATAACATGAAAAAAATCGAACTTGAAATTCATGAAAAATAGGAATTTCTGTTTATCAAAAGATATAATAAAGGCTCAGAATAAGTGGTAGTATATATAAAAAGCTCATACCTGAAATATATAAAGAACTTCTACCACTCAAATAGAAAAACACAGACAAGTAGTAGAAGAAAAAGGCTTGAAGAGAAGTCCTCAGGAAAGAGGATTATCCTATGAAGTACTACTATACATCTTCTTTCAGAATGGTCAAAATTGATTAATTAGAGAATGACATGAACAGAGACCATGTAGAACAATGACAATTCTCAAGGAACTTTGATGGGAGTATAACTGGGACAATGACTTTGGAAAACAGTTGGCCATTGTCTATGATACTGAAACATAAGCATATTGTGCGTTACAATTCTACTCCTAGAATAGATCCAAGAGAGACATATACTTATATGCAATAGTACCCACACAAGGATAGTCATAGTATTATTAATCAAATAGCCTAAAACTGTAACAATAATAGAACACGGGGTAAAACTAAGGGCTGCAGGGCAAATGTGGCCATTGACACAGCCCACTAACTAAGAATGGTTTGTCCATTTTTCAAAGGTGGTTAAAAAAAAAAAAGATTATGCAACAAAAGACCAAATGTAAACTTCAAAGCCTAAAATATCTACTACCTGGTATTTTACAGAGAAAGTTCGCCAACATCTGAAATAAACTACTACATAGAGATAGATGATTATTAACTATTAAAATCCTCAAAAATACATGTGCATTTCACATACAATGTTGAGTAAAAGAAGCCACACATAAAAGAAAACATATTCTATAATTTGAAGCTTAAAAAAGAGCCCAACCTACTAAAACAATAATTAGAGATGCAAATTTATCCAGTGATATGATTATGAAAAAGAGCAACATAAAAAGCCAGGATAGAGGTTGCAATCAGGATAGGTAAACAGAGGTTACAGTTGTTGAAATGTTCTATTTCTCCATTTGAATGGTAATGATTATATGATACAATACAATAAAGGCTAAGTGTATGTTTTTGTACTTTTTCTGTGTGTATAATATTTCACATGTAAAAGAGTTTAAGACCCACCTTTTCATAATCTTCAGTAGTAAAATCTCTGTCCTTCTGAAGTATTTCATGAAGTCTTGCTTTCACACGTTGCTGACAACTGCTCAAAGAGTCGCTATCACTGTCCAGAAGACCATTCATGTTAGCACTTTTTACCATCTGAACAAGGATGGGTGTAAGCTCTCCCTCCAGTGCCAATAGCCCCTAAACATATTAAATAAAACCAAAACAGTTTTTAAAATTATTATATAAAACAAGAGAAAGTATCACAATTATTTTGTTACCTGCTGAATTTTATAAGGTATAAACTATTTACAATAAATTTTATTACTAATATAATTTGTCACTGTAATTTCAGGGCTTTAGTTGAAAGTTTCAGATTTGAAAATTTAACACTGTCTTAGTAAAAATATTTACTAAAATATCAGATAAAAATATTAGATAAAAATTCCATTAATTCTAAAAACATTGACTTATACCTTGGCAAAAGCAGCTGCAGTCATCTGCACTCGTCCTTCATCAGAGGCATATATTTTGAGGTCATGTCGGTAGGTACTATGCAATCTAAGTAATCCACAACCAGGAAATCCTGCATAATCTCCTGAAAATAAATCCTCAAATCACTTAAGCTATATTTTTATTTCACTATATTTCTATAAACATTTAATGTCTCAAAATACATAAAGATATGAAAACATAATGTATAAATTTAACCTAATTAGAGAAACTCCAAGATTTACCTTGACCTCCAGGATACATACACCTGAAAGCTCTTCCAAGTTCTTCAGCCTGGACCCTGCCTGCAGGAGTTAGTTCTCCTCCCCATTTTAGAACCAAAAGTAAGGATGGTTCTTCTCTTCGGCTGTCTAGGATACATGTGAGTGGATAAAGCAAATGTCAAATTTGTTTATTTTAAACACGTTTCAAGATTAATTTTTCTTTGTGGTGCTTAGGTATTATTTTGTACCTTAAACATACCTCTCTTAGTAGGCTTCTGACAGAAATACCTCTTATTCCACCTATCTCAAAAATCTCAAAATCTCATCCATACTTTGGGATAAGGCTCTTTCCAAGTTTTCTGAAAGGAAGTATTGCTTCTCCTTCACTGCTCTCATAGTGGTATAATGGCAATTGTGCTACACATGCTAGATTAAGAGCTCCTTGATGATGAGATCCAGATCTTGTCTTTATAGCAAGAGCTGAAGTGAAGAAGATATATCCCTTTTCTATGATTAAGAATCAGTGATTTGCATAATTTTTAGGAAGATGTGAAATGACAGAGCCTAAAATTAATTATAATTGAAATATATAGGTGAGATATACAAAAAAATGTAGCCAAGAGCAGCTTTTAAGACTTGTGAAATGTTTGTTGTTTTGTACATCTGAAACTAATGTAATACTGTATGTCAAGTGTAATTTAAAAGTAAGTAAAATAAAATTTGAAATTGTGGAATCTCTATACGTCCCAGACCAAGTATTTTCTCAGACTTAGAGGAGGTACTATAAGTGAGTAATTTCTATACTAATTTTGATCTGCCCTTTACTATGTCCTAAGTTCTGTGTTATGCTACAAAAACAAAGATATTTTAAAAACAAGCAATGTAAGTGCTAAAGAACTTGATGATTCATTAGAAATGATAGAAAAATCACCCTTCCCCTAGGGCTAGTTAATAGTTCTTTGTGCTTTACCATGCACATGAATATTAATTTATGGAAGAACATTTAATTAACTGACTTTTAATTTAGTTATTTGTGGAATGTATATTTATCATAAAAATTAAGATAAAATAAATTAAGCTTTTTGCTATTAATCATCAATACAATAAGAAGATAACATATCAAATTTTTAAAATCCTATGTAATATAGAGGTAATATGCAAATTGACCATTATGCCCTCACATAAGATGGCCACCCCCATGTGATCACGAGATGGCTGGTAAGGGAGGGCCGTTGTGGGCAATCAGGCCAGCAGAGGGCAGTTAAGGGGACTAGGCAGGCAGGGGAGAGCAGTTAGGGGTGACCAGGCCTGCAGGGGAGCAAAATTGGGGGTGACACAACCTGCAGGGGAGGGCAGTTGGGGGCAACTGAGCCAGCAGGGGAGCAGTTAGGCATTGATCAGGCTGGCAGGGGAGTGGTTAGGGGGTGATCAGGCTGGCAGGCAGACGTAGTAGGGACACTCAGGTAGGCAGGCAGGCGAATGCTTGGGGGCTTGCAATCCCAGATTGTGAGAGGGATGTCCGGTTGCTGGTTTGGGATTGGGCCTAAACTGGCAGTCGGAAACCTCCTATGGGGTCCTATATTGAAGACAGTGTAGGCTGGGCTGAGGGACAGCCCAGTGCACAAATTTCGTACACAGGGACTCTAGTCTATAAAAATAAAAGCATAATATGCTAATTAGACCAGATGTTCTTCCAAATGAATCCTTCCAGATGAACCTGGGGCTGCGAGGGAAGTCTGAGTCCCGGGTACCTACCAGAGGGAAGCCAGTGCCGGTAGCCAGGGGAAGGAAGGTCTACTCTTGCACAAATTTTGTGCTTCGGGCCTCTGGTAAATATATAAAGATCAGCATAGTCTAAGTTCTGTTTGCATGTATGATAATCATTATTTCAACTTTTGTAGTATAAATAATGCCATTTTGAAAGTTCCGATAGGTCAATCTTCCCCTGAATATTCAATTATTTCCTTGGGATAAACTCATGTAAGTAGAATTAAGGTTAAAACATATGAATATTTTTTGAAGTGCCTAATATAAAGATATTGACATATTACTATTCAAAGAGTTACGTCAATTTATACTCCTATCAGTAGACTGAAATACTGCCATACTACATTCTCATCAGCATTATTTATTACCAATTTGAGAAAAGAATAAAATAAGAAAATACTTTCCCAATGTGATAAGCAAGAGTAATTATCATATTAAAGGCCCAGTGCATGAAAAATCATGCACTGTTTGTGGGGGAGGTACCTATCTGGCCTGCCCCTTCTCACAGTCAGGGCATTCTCAGGGATGAGAGGCAACCTGGCAATCAGGAAAAGGTGATGCCGCCACCATACCTAATGCTGCTGCCACTACCAGCAGCACAAGCTTCAGCTGGTCCTAGTTATCTGAGCCTTGGGGGCCCTGGGCAGCTGCCATACGAGGCTTCCCTGCACCTCGGGACTGCTCTGGGTGGCTGGGGCGGGGGGGGGGGGGGGGGGGGGGGGGGCTGAGGGTGGGTCTGGCCACTGCATGCCTGCCACCTGCCCTCAGTGGAGCTGAAAGGACTGGGGCACTCTGTCGGGGCTGAGGGAACTGGGTGCTGCCATCTTGTGGCTATGGGTGCCACCATCTTTGTGATGGTGTGACAGTCAATTTGTATATTCCCTCTTTATTAGGTAGAATTATATTATTGGACATCTGCGTTTCTCCACAAAATGACTTTTCTAACCTCTATTTTTCTTTTGAAAGGTAAATTAGTATATGAACTTTTGAGCTGACTGCTCTGAAGAGACTAATCATATTTAAATGCTCATTCTGGAGAAAAATATCTATTTTCAAACACATTGATTGTGTATTTTTTTTAAATAGTCTTTTCATACTTTTTGAGCTTTCATCCTAAATAGTTTGACCTTTTCTACCACTTAGTTATAAATAAATAAGTTTTCTGAAACAACTCCAGAGTAAAAGAGAAGTTCTATGAAGTTTTCAATATAATAAAATCTACCCTTTACTTAAAGGATAAAATCTACATTTTAGATAGAAAGCAGTTAACAAAACATCACTAAAAAGCAAACCAATCCTTACATATAATTAAAACACAGTAGGCATTAAGAATGACACACCTTCCTCTTCACTAGATGTTTTAGGACAACCATGAGGGAGATAGGTTAATTGCACCTTACGATTTATTCCAGAAAAGTGGCCATACCTGAAAAATAAAATGGCAAGCAGAATGAACAATATTCAGTAAGTGTTCAACCTTCTGGAAAAAAATGAATCCATCTATAGAAAAAACTAACCTTATATTTATTGCCTCCTCTATTTGTAATTACCTTGTTGAATGCTTCAAAATATGCTAGTAGAAAATCTGTTACAAAAGTAGTCATTCTAGCACCTTAAAAATGAAGATAGAGCCATGGCAGGTGTGGCTCAGTTGGTAGGAGCATCCTCCAGTACCCTAAAAGGTTGAGGATTTGATTCCCAGTCAGGGGACATATCTAAGTTGCAGGTTTGCTCCTGGCCCAGTTGGGACACTTGCAGCTTGCAGGAGGCAACTCATGAAACTCATGAATGTTTCTCTCTCTTCTCTCTTCTCTCCTCTCCAACATCAAGAAAATGTAATCTGGTGAGGATTAAAAAAATAATAATAATAATACAAAAATGTTTATCTACAAAATTTATGATTTTGAAGAGATGACAAAGTATAGACATATATTAAAACATAAATGTATGTGTCTTAAAAAAAAAAGGAAATAAATAAATAAATGAAATAAGATTGTAAATGGTCAAAAATAGTAAAGTTTATAATAGAAATACTGGTAGTACCTATTTTACTCGACTAAAACATAGTTCAAAATTACTATATTTTGAAAAAGCGCTAAATATGTTGTCAAGTTAGCAAAGTGAACTTCATACTAAGTAGTACTTCATAGAAGATCCACATTTGATGTCCTCTTTTCATCTTCTCATTAAAATTAAAACTAAAACAATAAGCTTCAATACAACATCTATTTTTCACTGGTGAGAATAAAAATCTCAATAGTTTTTCACTAATTTCTCCTCTGCTACAGTGATAAAAATTAAAAATATCGAGCTGAAGAACAATAACAAGGAAAGTCACACATATTTTCAAAAGAACATTACAAGTCATCATGAAAATTAAGGGATTCAAAGATACTCACATCTCTAACACAGTCTTAAGTTGTTCAAGTTTTGACTTGTTTTCTTCAATGTCAGAATCATTGTTTTGCCCCAGTTCCGTAAGAAGTTGCCGTGCAATATCCAGCACTTCCTGTAAAATAAATTAAGAAAGAACTACATTTTTATATAACTTTCCCATTAACAACTTAAAATTCAACAAGAAATCAAATGCACTTGCCTGTAATTGTTTTGGCTTTTTGAGTTTTAATTTCCCAGATTTATATCCATCACACTTTTCAAAAAGATCAAAAAATCTTATAAAAAAGATAGAGCACTATTAGTTATTTGCAATAAGTAATATTTTCACCATATACTTAAATCAATTATAATAAATAATAGACATAGAACTATAATGATAACAAATCATATATATGGGACTCAGGCTCTTTGAATTTCAAATACTGTGTCCGCTTTCCCTTCTTGTTGTTTCTTTACATTGAATGATATACTTTAAAAAATATATACATATATATATTATTGATTTTTTTTACAGAGAGAAAGAGAGAGGGATAGAGAGTCAGAAACATCGATGAGAGAGAAACATTGATCAGCTGCCTCTTGCATACCTCCTACTGGGGATGTGCCCGCAAACCAGGATACATGCCCTTGACCGGAATCGAACCTGGGATCTTTCAGTCTGTAGGCTGATGCTCTATCCACTGAGCCAAACCGATTTTGGGGATTGATATATTTTTTATATTTCCCTAACCCATATCAAACTAATCACTGAATTACATGAAAAAGTTTCTCATGATAAAAACATGATGTTTTATATGCTTATAAAACAAAATATCTGAAATATATGTTCTCTGAAGTCACAACACACACATATATACTCAAAAAATATGTTTCAGTATATATTTAATGGCTCAGGTTTCCCATGTCAAATACTAAATATAAAAAAACAACTTTTATCATAGTAATCTTCTTCTCGAAGTTTGGGAGGTTAATGACTATCAGAAAGCAATAGAAGAGAATAATAAACCAAGATTAAATAGAACATATTTACAGCAATAAATGAAAACTAGGTGAGACTGAGGGTCATTTATGGATACTGCCACAATAATTTTCAGATACTGATATATACAATTATTTTAAAGGGATTCTGTTTGCAACCGTAGGTTTAAATATTAATGCCAATAAATAGTAGTAAACAGTTTTTCTATATGATATAGTAATAAATAGCTAATCATCTATCAAAAATAATAAATTATCTTCTAAGTATTAAATTATCCCCCTTAAAACATACTTTTGATGCCTCACTTCCATTTTCATTTTTTGTTTTGGTGTTCGATCCCCGTGACGAATAACAGCTATGACACATCTAAGTTCCATCCTAAAATTAAAACAAGAAATTCTCAATTTGTGTTAAGTAAGTTTGGAAATATGGGTTTAAAAACAAAATTAAATACTTTTGTCATCCTCCCTCCCAGGACTTCTGAGAATATTTAATATGTTAATGTAAGTCTCTAAGCTGTGAATGTGAACAATATGGTCAATTCACCTGAGTAATAGGTAAGTTTCAAGCAATTAACTTTAACTAGAATGTTATGAAACACTTTGGCAATATTCGTTCAATTAACTTAAAATATAACTTTACATTTTTTCTCTACATGCTAAGCATTCCAAAGTTGCATGACCACTAATTATAAAAGTTTAAGTAATACATCTGTTGTCAACTCTTTATTTTTATGGTTTAATTAAACAGTTCTACAATTATACAGCGTTTTGGGGGATTTTATTTCAAGAGAACCCCTGTAAAAGCATGTACTCTATTGCTCCATCTGCAAAGTGGACCAAATGAAAATATACCAAATAAAATATCTAATAATCATTCAGAAATTTAATCTTTATTGCAATAACGCAGACTTCTGGGGAAAACCCAAGGAATTTCTAAATGAAAATATTCAAACTTACATAGTTCCAGATGTAGTTGGTACAATTGGGATATCTTCAGCTTCTAAGGGTATTGACCAGGGGATATGAAATTGTGGAGCAAGCTCTCTCATCACAATATTGCTTTGAGAAAAATAAAAATAAATAAACAAACAAATAAATAAAATAAAAGTACTTCATTTTAAGACAAAAAATAGAAAAATCATAGGAGCTAAAGTCTAATTATCTAGTGTTCATTGTAACAACTGCACATAAGTAACCCAGAGAATCAATCCTGATCAAGAAAAATTAGACAAACAGTTCTAAACTGATGTATCAGAACATACTAATGGGATGCCATAAATTTAAAAGTATTTACTTATATACCTTAGTTTTAAAAATGTAAGTCACATTATATTCAAATAATTCACTATAACTGTATCAGATCTATTTTACAAAGGTTCTAAAACCAAAGATGATCTGTTCCGTATGGTCACTAATCAATTTTTACTAATGTATAGGTCACAAATAAGCTATTTTACATACCATTGCCCATTTTTAACAAAATTTTATCACATTATTAAAAGGGTTAACAAACATGTTTAAGTAATTAAAAAATATTTTTGGTTTTGTTTTAGTTTAGCATTTGTGCTAAAATTTAGTAATAAGCTCCCAAATTTCACTTTAAGGATAAGTTCACAAACCTTTGAAATATACAATACAAGCTAATTCCAATTATGAAAATACTTTTTAAAGTGTAAGTTTCTTATGGCTTTGTCATATATACTTTAAAATGGTTTAGAGATAGCTCTTGTTTTGTAAGTCTTTTAAATCAGTGTATAAGAAAACAAGGTTAAAGAATATAAAGATGGCATTTCTGTAAGCAATAATTTCTCTTACATTCAGTTGATAATCTCATAAGATCTTTAAGTAACACACTTTTTAAAAAGTAGTATTATTCAAAACAATCCTCAATTCCAAATATTTCTATTTCACTCTGGTTATTTACTTCATGAATGTTAATTTTGTGCCACATAAGAGAATGAAACCATAGCATTTCTAAATCTATGAAGTTAAGAAGCCTTTAAGCCTTTATCTACACTGGTCATAAATTCACCTATCTTTGATAACTCAATTATAAGTCATGATTTGGCATGGTCTTTGGGGTTGTCATTTTATAAACAGTGATTTTTACAGTGCTGACAAAATCCTAATCATTTGATGTTGATAATTATTTAGGTTCTGTATAACTAGTATGTATTAGCTGTAATAAAGGTAAAGAAGAAGAAATATAAAGAAAAAAATTCATACCCAAGTATTTTTGCACAATCATCATAATACTTCATGGAATTTTTCACAAAACTGAAGCCATTGACATCACAGACATAGGACTGTCCATTGGCTCGCAATAAATCAAAGCCACAAACTGTTTGCTATTTAAAATAAATTATAAAATTTAAAGTTCCATTTGAATTAATATTCACAAATTCCCAAGCTTGTTAGAACATATCAAATTATATGAATGCCAAAAAGTGTATTATTGTTTACTAGTTTACTTTATAATAAATAAAAAAAATGGTATTACTTTTTTGTAACTTCAGTACCCTGAAAATATATAACACATGCCATATAATCATTATCATAAAGTAGATGTAGAATAATAATGTTTAAGGGACTAAGGAGACAAAAAAAATATTTTTTAATCCAGTTCTCAAGAAACATTTCTTTAAAAAACAAAAGTAAAAACATATATAGGCTTTGATAAATTTTGTGTTAGCAGGAATGACATCACTATAATCCAAAAAAAAAAAAAAAAATGAAAAAGAAAAAACAATTTTGAAGAAATATCACAAAGAAAAAGTCAAATTATCCCTATGAGTCTTTCAAACCCTAATAATCACATATTTGTGAGTATCCAAAATAAATTTATTTTATTTGGGAGAACAAAACAGTTTAAAGGTATGCATTTCCTGTTCAAGCTCTAGGAATTTTCCTATCTTCTATTTTATATTCAAAGCATCACATATTAGCATAATTAACATAATGTGATGTTAAGTCATGGCTTTGAAATCTTAGTATTACAAGTTAAAAGTGATTTAAACATAGTAAAACATATTTATAGGCTAATATTCCTTCCATAAAAGAGACCTCAAATTATTAATAAAGAATTTACTTCTCGTTTACTATCCAATACACACTCATCTTTAAGTTATATTTCCAAGGCAAGTCTTCAAAAACGTAACTTTAGAAGTTATTAGACACAAGTTTTAAAACTTTTATCTAAATCTTTATAGTAGATTTAGTACATCCTAGCTGGTTTGGCTCAGTGGATATCACGTTAGCCCGTGGACTAAAGGGCACATGGTTGGGCATGTGTGGGAGGCAACCAATTGATGTGTCTCTCTCACATCTATGTGTCTCTTTATCTCTTCCCCTCTATTTCCTCACTCTAAAGAAATCAAAGGAAAAATATCCTAGGGTGAGGATTAGTAAAAAATACAAAAAGAATAATAAAAGTATACTTCCATTAACATAATAATAATAAAAATATTAACAGTAGTAAACGCCCAACAAATTGATTGAGAGATGTAGTCAAATATTGGAAGTAAAAAGTTTTAAGACATATATTTGTATTGCTTTCATGAACATACTTTATTAGATATAATAGGCTAATAGATTGGTTGTCAAGGCTAGAAGAATACTGAGGACCTCTGCTACTCGACAACAACAAAAATTGTTTACCAATTCTATGAGTAAATAACACAACCTGTTTTTTGTTTTTGTTTTTAGTATGTTAAATAACAACCCTAAACACTGGTTAACTCTAGTGTTTTGTTGTTTTTCTTCATAATTTTAATTTCTGAATAAATTGACAAAGTTCCCTTTTATGTAATACAGAAAAGCAAAGGTCTTTACTTATGTATTTTTATATTTTGGCACTACAAGAATCCTTTGAAGAATTTATAAATTGTTCAGATATACCACTTTTATTTTCTCAGCTCATTCTCCAATTATAAGCCCAAATAAGTTATTTTACTAAAAAAAAAAAAAAAAAAGAAAAAAAGAATTCCTTTTACATAGGTCTATATGGGCTGTTTAACATCTTACCTTAAATGCAAGACAGACTTTCCAAGCAATTAATTTTTCTCGTGCATTGAGAATAACAGGGTATCTTACTTCTTTTCCTTCACTGTCTCGTTCCACCTTGCCATCAAGTGCTGGAGATTTTCGAGCTTCAGCATGGGCATAATCTGGACCCACTGTATAAACCTTTCATGAATGTTAAAGTATATATTTTATTAAAATATAAAAAATATTTGTCTCTAGATAGGCTTTCACACATCTTTCTACTTACATGTCAAATTTTTTAATATGTTGGAGAGGTTATAAATAATTAATTATATGGCAAAACTGGTAAATTGAAGTTCAATTCTCTAGAAAAAAATTATACTGAGCATTATGAGGGAATAAGGGGATGTAAATCATGTCATTTTTTAGTTTAAAAAAGGAGAGATAAAAATAACAAAAAACAAAACAAAACAAAAAAACACACACACACACACAAAAACACACACACACACACACACACACAAAACATTATAGAAGTAACTGCCGAAAGATGATTTAAAAAATGGGGAAGGTGAGGGAGAGCATAAATTTGAAGGCAGACAAGAGAGGGAAAGGCATTCTAAGCAAAGGTAATAAACACAGATTGAGGGCAAAAGCATGAACAGCACAAGGTATTCAGGTAAGAGTAAGTTATTTGGCCTGGTTTATACCCTAAGAAATAAGGTTCATAGGACCAACAGCAGACAAACTATGAAATAAATATCTTGTATGCCAGTTTTATGAACTTGATAATTATCCTGAGGTCAATGAGGATCCACAAGATAATTTTTAAAAAGAGGTTCATAATCAGATTTAAGAAAGAACACTCTGGTTAGACAGACTGAGAAAAAGTAAAGCAATTAAGACTTGTCTAGACTTGACTCTTTGCCAGCAGAAATCACACATTTTTATAACACATTACAGTTGTTGCATATCTTAAAACATCATTTACACTGATCGGTGATGGCTATTACACCCACTATATTTTATTACTTAATGTCCTTTTAAAGGAGAATACATATTATTATATCACAAGGTTGGTTTTTAAATATTTTGATAACTATATTTCAATAAAATTTATCTCATTTTTTAACCTTATATGTTTTATTTAAAACATATTCTATAAAATTTATTTTTTAAAAGGGTCATAGCCTTCAGACTTCCAAAGGCTTTCACAGTACAAAACAGATAAAGACTAGACATTGCTAATTAAAGGGTGTTCTATTTTCTGATATCACTGGTAAACTCTAAATACAAAATTAAAATATACTTTAATCAACCTACCTTAACATCAGTACCATCTGTGGGCATAAACTCTTCATATATATATGAGCCCGTTTTTCGCACATTGCTTTCTGGGGAATAAACACTACTTCTACTGCCAATCTGAAAACAAAATATGTACATCAGCATAAAAACTAAATTATTCTCATTTTTATAATACAATCCTTTAGCATCTATTTCCATCTTAGACAAAAATAATTTGTTTTAATCCACAAATACTTAACAACACTGTGTAGCTGACACTATATTTTCTGCTGCATTTGCAACTTACATGTAGTTAAACAGTATTAAAAAATACAATGAACACTAAGAATAATGTTTCTAAGATCCAACCATGTTGTTGCATGTAACTGTAGTTTGTTCATTTTTACTACTATAGAATTTTTCACCATATAAATATACTGCAACTTATTCATTCTCCTATCAATGTATATTTGAGTTGTTTCAAAACTTTTCCTATTAGGACAACATTGCTTTAAACATTCTTAAAAGTGTCTCTCTGGCACATGTGTGCAAGAGTGTTTCTAAAGTATCTATTAGAAATGGAATTGCTGGGTGAGACTATGCCCATATTCAACTTTCAAAAACAATGTCAAAATCTTTTATACAATGTTTAACACTTTACAATCTCTCCAGCAATGGATGTGAGTTCCCACTACTCTACATGCTTGTTTATACTTGGTATTGTTATACTTTTTAATATTTGCCACACTAGTGGATATAAAATAGTATCATTGTGTCTTTACTTTGCACATCCATGACTATTTATGTATATTTGGGCTTGTTTTCCAACTACTTCCATTTTTTTTTTTTCATTGCAAATACAAAGTAACTCAATATCATTATCTTTTATTCCTGATTTGCATTTATTTTATTATGGGTACAATTTTGAGCATACTCACAGGTACTATATAAAAGTTATTGGTATTACTTTTTCTATGAACTACCCATTTTGGGAGCTGCTGATATTTTCTACAACACTGCTGATATTCACCTAAATTTTTCATATGAAAGATATATAAATGAAAGGTAGAAAGCAACTTCTTGACATTCTATAGGTAGAAATTTTGCATAAGCAGCATTAACTAAAAGGATGCCTTGTTTTTCTAAAAATGATACTATTTTATAGTATATTAATTTTAATAATTTATATCTAAATGATACACTCTTAATCATAGTTTTAACAAATAATTGATTTCTTTTAGTAAAATTTAAACAACAATGTATAAAGAACAGTATTCACTAGGAAAACCAAAGTTTACCTTTCGAAAAAGTCTTTGACTTCCACCACCAGCAGATGTTGGATAATAAATGTAAACATTGTGATCTTCTGCACTAACTGGCTTCTCTACAAATGGCTTTTGAAAAACTTCCCCATTTACTTCTACATGATCTTCCCCTTCAATCAGGCTGCATTCTATACATCAAACATAATAGTAAGCAAAATTAAAGTACTAATTTGATTTTACTTTAAAACACTTATGCATACAACATATACCAACACTTATGATATACTAGAGGTCCGGTGCATGAAATTTGTGCATGGGGGAGGGAAAAGGATGGTGGTGTCCCTCAGCCCAGCCTGCACCCTCTCCAATCTGGGACATCCCTCTCACAATCCAGGACTGCTGCTGCCTGCCTTCCTGATTGCCCCTAACTGCTTCTGCCTGCCAGCCTGATCACCCCCTAACTACTCCCATGCCAGCCTGATTGATGTCTAACTGCTCCCTTGCCAGCTGGTTTGCCCCCAACTTCCCTCCTCTGCCAGCCTGGTTACCCCTAACTGCCCCCCCCCTGCAGGGCTGATCACCTCCAGCTGCCCTCCCTTGCAGGCCTGGTGCCTCCCAACTGCCCTCTCCTGCTGGCCATCTTGTGTCCACATGGGAGCAGCTATCTTGATCTTGTGTGTTGGAGTGATAATCAATCCGCATATTACTCTTTTATTAGATAAGACTAGAGGCCAGGTGCATGAAATTCGTGTATGGGGGTGTGTACCCCTCAGTCCAACCTGCATCCTCTCCAATCTGGGACCCTCTCGGGGGATGTCTGATTGTTGGGCCTAAACAGGCAGTTGGACATCCCTCACACAATTCCTGGACTGCTGGCTCCCAACTGCTCGCCTACCTTCTTGATTGCCCCTAACTGCTTCAGCCTGCCAGCATGATCACCCTCTAATTACTCCCCTGCCAGTTTGATCGATGCCTAACTGCTCCCCTGCTGGCCTGATCATCCCCAACTGCCCTCCCCTGACTGCCAGGTCACCCCCAAATGCCCTCCCCTGCATGTTTCCTTTATTAAATAGGGTTTTTTCTCTAACATATTGGACAGCCCTAACTGGTTTGGCTCAGTGAATGGAGCAATGGCCAGCAGACTCAAGGGTCCCAGGTTTGATTCCAGTCAAGGCCATGTACCTTGTTTGGGGGCACATTCCCAGTGGGGACTGTGCAGAAGACAGCTGATCGATATATCTCACTCATAGATTTTTCTAGCTCTCTATCCCTTACCCTTCCTCTCTGTAAAACACCAGTAAAATATATATAAAAAAGAAACATTTAAGATTCCTTCATATCTGCCTGACTGGTGTGACTCAGTGGCTGAGACCCCAGGCTGGGCTGGGAGGGGATCTCTGCGTGGGTCCATACACCGCTGCCAGCTGAAACCCCAGGCTGGAGGTGTGGACCCAAACCGCAGCGTTCACAATTGCAGGCTGTGTGAGAACATGCCCGCATCACTATGGTGACGCAGGGACATTTCTGCCCCACCCCCAGTCGATTGGCGCCAGCACTCATAGGCTCCCAGTGGCCAAGGGGCCTTCTGGGACCCCTGCCGCTCAGGGCCTAAACAAGGGCCTACAGGCTAAGAGCAGCCGGGGTCTGGAGAATGTTTCCAGGACCCAGGCTGCTCAGCACCTGCATATGCAAATTAACCGCCATTTTTGTTGGGTTAATTTGCATACTCGCTCTGATTGGCTGTGGGTGTAGCAAAGGTACAGTCAATTAGCATTTTTTCTCTTTTATTAGTGTAGATGGTTTTAGGTACTATAGTTCTTCAAAATATGCTGAAAGATAGAAGATAGCTTGTTTAAAATCTCTTACTTTTACCTTTGGGATTATTTGGATCACGGTTCAAAATTGCATAACGAGGAAGTAAAATACCTTCAGCTTGAAGAATACTATATACTTCTCTCCTGAAGAAAAAGGAAAACAAACATCCTTATTGTTTTTAGTTGTTTCAAAAGTATATCATTGTATTCTTCATAAGTATATTACTATTCTACCACTAAAAAAGAAATGTATACTGTCTTTATTTTTTAAAGAAATGTCACTTAAAATATTAAAAAATGTATTCAGCAATTAGAACAAAAAATGTATGCATAATACATTATGTTTCATATTAAAATTCTAACTTTTAAATTAAGAATGTAAATATATAAAAAGAAATGGTTAAAGTTGCTACATTGCAATGACAGGATATTACCGAACCATTAAAAACTTCACACTCCTCATAAATTTAATAAAATGGGAAAATATTTACAGTACAAGAGAACAGTGACCCTAATTTTGTAAAATGTGAGTGTAGGTATATATCACTTTCTATATGAACAAATACGGTAGATGTAATGGTAGGGTTAAATGTTTTTCTTTATGCTTTTGTTTTCTAAACTTCATAAAATGAATATGCATTTGTATATGTACATATATTTATAATACATAAACATGCATTAATATGTAAACCTAAGAAAAATGTGGAAAAATTTTAGATATTAACAATGTCACTATCTGAAAGAATAGTAAAATACAAACATAGGAAAACAAATAAACTATAGGGTCATATGCTTTATAAAACCATTTCATATATATAATCTTATATTGTAATGCTAACACAAAAGAAAACATAATGCTACCGTGTTTCCCCGAAAATAAGACATCCTCCGAAAACAAGACCTAGCGCATGGAAAGATAAGACATCCCCTGAAAATAAGACCTAGCGCAACTTTGGGAGAAAAATTAATATAAGACACTGTCTTATTTTCGGGGAAACAGGGTAGTAAAATTATAAGGGTAGCCATTAGACTAAAATATCAATTAAATGAAATACATTCATATTTTACCATTTCTCTTAGAAATGCATGCTTTTGGCCTGTTAAATTAATTTTAAGATATAAAGTGAAATGTTTTTCAAATAGTTATACTTTACCATTAAAAATAATCTACTTATAATGAATAAAGCCCTAATTTCCTCATCAGTCACATGTTTAAGTAATTGTTCATTATTTTCAAAGGCTTAGTAGGCTTTGGAAATTAAACAAGACTGGTATAAGTCCTTGCACCACTATTTGTGGAACTAGTGGTGCAAGGCAAATTTAGGCAAATTTACTATATTGATATGCTTAGGCAAATTTACTATATTGATATGCTTAGATCTCAAGTTTCTTCATCCATAAAACTGGGTATGAATACCTACTTCCAAGTATTATTTCAAGGATACCACAATTTAAAGTATATGAAAACACGTTTGCTTACAGTAGCTACTAAATTAATTTTCCTTCCCTTAATTCAACCAACTTCACCACTCACTCACCTATCTTGTATGAGATACTGCATATTCAAGTCATTGATTATAAATGGATTCCTGAGTTTTGCATAGGCAACTGCTTTGTCCAGTGGAAATCCTAAGAACACATATCATTAATATAATCTGTACAATCTTAAGATAAGCTGACATCTATAACTTTATTGACTTAAATTTAAGCCACTTTCCATCAAAGTTGAATTTCCTTATGCATATAACTACTTTCTTTATAGATGTGGAATAATAGACACATAAAACTTGATTTGACATGTACTATTAAATAAACTTTATTTTTTCATAGTTAATTTGATTGATAAGGCATAGCAAGCCAGTGATTATATAACCAAATTTATAACACTCACATGTTAGTCACTGATTATTAAAATAACCTGATAAAAGGTAGGATTACCTCATAAACAAATAGAAATCTCTATATAAATAAGAATATCACAGTCACCTGGTGATTTTAAAAAAATTATATACATGATTTTAAAATATTTTGATGCATATATATATATAAATTAGCTGATAATTCAAAGAACATATACATCTTTAAAAATAGCAGCAAAACAAAAATTAATTCACATGGGACAGATATATGCTCAAAATGTAAAATACAAGAGCAAAAAAACACTTGCTGCTACTAATAGGTCAGTGTTAAAATTAACTCCCTAAACTTTCTAGATTGGAATAACTAATTATAATGGAAACAAATCAAATGGCAAATATAGTTTTTAAAAATCTAAAAAGTTTTAATGATTATATGTCACTCTTTGTATTGGCAGTAGAAGCCTACAATTTATCCATCAATTCACATTATTAAGACAGGCAGTATACCATAGAGATTAAGAGCATAAATTGGGGTTCAAATCCTGGTTCCACCTTTCACTAGCTATGTGATCTTGGGCAAAACAATTTTTAAACATCTCTAGGCCTCTGATTCCTGGCTGTAAATGGGTATTACACCATTCTTAACTAGTAGGGTTTCTGAGGAATTAAATAAAAGTGTATATAAAATACTTAAAACAATATCTGGCACAGCAAGTACTCAACAAATGTTAACTGTTATTGTTTCTTAAGTGATAATACTTTAATGGATATTTATCTAAAGAAATGGGTAAAAATCAGCAAGCATGCAAAACTTTAGCATTAACTATATTATACACATGAAGACCTGTAGGAAAGAAGTATTAAAGCATACTCAAGGTAAAAATAAAACAAAATACTATCAATTAAGGAAGATTTATTCCAAAATTACTTAGTTTTTAAAATTTAAATAGAAATACTCTAACCAAGAATCACATGACCACAAATTACAAACCCTTTTATGGAGACTCTCAGAATTCTTCACTTGTAAAGATGTCTCAATGTCTCTAATTTGAAGGCTCCTAACAGAATTGAGCAACACTCAACCTCCTGCTTTTGTTGTTGTTAAGAGGAACTTTTTCCTCACCAAAAGACAGCATATGGGATATGACCTTAGGTCGCACCTACTTTTTTATAGACAAATAGGTTTTGAAGAAAGAACCATGTGGTAGTAGTAGAACACCACTTTACACTCAGGGATAAGCAAATTTTAAGGTTCTCTGGAATGTTGTACTCCAGTCTATAAAGGGGACCAGAGCCTAAGCTCTTTTAGAATAAAAACCAATATAGGCCGTGGAAGCACAAAAGGTCTGAACCATGGTCCATCTCCATCGTGCTGAAGGAAATGCTTCTTGAACACCTAACTAAAGTGAGAGTTTATTTAATACAGCTGGGGACTACATATTTGGTAACAAGAACCATATATTATAAATATGTTATAAGTTAGCACATATCTCCTATAATTCTTAGTGAGAAATTCACTTAATTCACAGTCTTAGGTTTTAAGTTTTCAGACATACATTTAATAATAATTTTGCTTAGTAGACTTATCATGAAGAACTACTTTACTAAGAAGTAAAACTTAAACTTAATGATATTTCAGTTTGATTTATAGAAGTAAAACCTAATATTAAAAGTTTAAGTTCTTAAGAAATAAAGTATGAATATATATATGTACATATATATATTCATACTCATATATATATGAGAAATAACAGATCATTTCCTATCTGGCAAAAGTATAAAGAATTAAAATGTTAAATAATTCAAAATTTATCCTAAAAAACTTAGAGGACTTCATCAAAACCTTATTTTTTTTTTTATTAAATTATTATCTGTGTACATATTTTAACATTGCCCCCCCCCCCAGTTTTAATAGTAAAAACTGAAAACCATGTAATTGTTACGATATTAATTAAATATGCTATCGCACTTTCATACAATGACACACTAAAAAATAATTAAAAACCAGGTTTTTAAAGAATGATATGGAGGAAAAAAAGTCTGATATAACTAGTTAAAAAGTTAAACATAAAATTACATATACACTATAATACTAAATATATTTCTAAAGATATGCACACAAAAAAAGGTTGGAAAGAAATATGTAAAAATGTTTATATCACCAATCTGTGAGAGTAGATAAGTTTCATTTTATTTTTTCTAATTTATCTAATATTCTACAATTAACATGTATTAGTTTTACAATCAGAGAGGATAAAAGGGGGTTTCCGTCCCCATTCTTTAATACCTTTAGAATGGAAAGAAATAAGACAATCACATAAAGGCCAGTTTTCCACTGGTTCATTCAAAATAACTTCCTCTTCAAATACTATTACTGTAATATATTTAAATAAGGAGATCCTTTCAAGAATTTCCTTCATTGGTTTTGATTTGGACTTCTTTGCCATGGAACATATTCCAACCACAATCTGCCTTTCCGGTGGCTAAAACAGAAAAGAAACAAAAAAAAATCAGGTTGACTTAATAAAAACTGCCAAGTGCAGCTATTGTAATCTTTCCCAGAAGTAGATGAGACTTGTGATGAACTAATAAAAAATGGCACATTAACAAAAAAAGGCATTTTTAAAAATTATATCGTCATAATACATATTAACAAAATAATAGTTTTCTACAAAGCTCTCAAAAACAATTTAAAATAAACTTTCAGGACATTGTCATTAGTTTCTTTCAATTTTTAAACTTAAACAAATTCTCCTTTAATTGTCCCTAATATTTACCTTCTTCACACCACAAAGGGGCAAATAAAAGACAAACCCTATCCAATCCAAATAAAAGGCCAATGAGAGAGCGATAAAGAATTCTCTTGACTAAAATATGATGTTGTTCTGACTAGAAAGCTATATTTTTTGTAGATTAAGTGTGAAAATTAATTGGTCACCTATGATAAATTAGAAGGAAATTTTAGAGAAGGCCACACTGTCAATGCTCTCTGACACCCCAATCATCATAGTCTAATATTCTTATTTAATCGTACTGTTCCTCTCTGGCACCACTACTACAGTTCAAAGGCCATGATTTGGCCTGAAACTAAAAAAGCAGAAAATGAAAATAATAACTTATAAGTAGCTCACAGGTTTATAAAATTACTCAAGATTCAATGAGACCTTTGCATTCAGGTGCTTAGAGCTTTATCAAATATATAAAGAAAGCTGCGTCGTTTCTCATTGCAATTCTCTCTCTTCCATTTTATATATTTCATATGACATTATAATATGGGCTCAAATTATACTAGAGCTCAAAAGTTTTACTAGACTCTAAAAATAAAACTGGATAACATCATAATTAAATTGGTATTTTTAGCCTAGAATTATATTTCTTCATTGCTCTCTAATTCATATAAAATTCAAATTGGTGTTGGATTTGATTGTAAATCCTAATTTCCCTGGGATCTGCTGTCTTTCTCACTGTGATCATCCATTTTAATGTTCCCTTATTAAATTTTTTCCTGATGAAAAGCTTCGACATAGCTCATTATGACGTTCCTAAAGTAGATTTCATAGACAACAAAAGTGCTCCATTTAATATTGCATACTGCTTTACAGTTGAAAAAATTAAAAGCTAATAAGTTTTACAGAGAGGAAGGGAGAGGGATAGAGAGCCAGAAACATCGATGAGAGAGAGACATCGATCAGCTGCCTCCTGAGCACCCCCCACTGGGGATGTGCCCGCAGCCAATGTACATGCCCTTGACCGGAATCGAACCTGGGACCTTTCAGTCTGCAGACCAACGCTCTATCCACTGAGCCAAACCGGTTTCGGCAAAAGCTAATAAGTTTTATTTGCTTATAATAGATCTATTTAATGAATAGCTGATCATTGCCTAAGATGAACTGAAAACATTACAGTTTAAAATGTACAAATAAACCTATATTAAGAAAAAAATAACAGAATTTTCCTATTAGGTAAAATCTTAGAAGAATGAAAATAATTTTTAAAACAGGTCTAAATTAGTTAGATTTAATGTCTAAATGAAATTCTTTGAAATTTTAATAGAAGAATGATCTGAAACAAACTGTTTTATCAATTCATAGGTCAAATAAATCATATCAAGCTCCTCAAAAATGACAACTACACATCATGAATATAAACAATTTAATTAGTTTGAATAGTCCAAGAACTATAAATTAAGCACTAAAGAGTTAGACATATAAAAACTACCTGTCCTCAAAGTTCTTTGAGTCTAATGGGGGACAGAGTAATAATATAGTATATTATGATACATGAAATAAAAATATATATGTCAAGTTACAGAAATAGTATCAAGGAAGAAGTGCTCAATTTTCTCCTGGGGAAGAAAGGCAAGAGTGAATATGAAACCTAAGCATTGTTTCGAAGAATGAAAAATTGTTCACAAAGCACCCCCAACAAAGGCATCTCATAGAGACAAAGGAGTGCATACAACAGCAAAAAGGCATGATACAACATGGAATACATAGTACCTTTGATATTGCTAAAACATAAAAGGTAAAAGGCATGAGAGACAGTACAGGTCTAGATACAGTTGAAAAAAAGTCCTTATGTGTAAGACTAGACTTGATCTACCAGTGGTGTCCACAGTGTGTTCAGAAGTCTATAGAGAAAGAGTGAAGTTCAGTAGAAGCTGAGTCAATAGTTCTTTTCAGTCTGTCAGCCAGAGACGCTGTTTTTATGTTTATTTACTGGCCTTGTAGATAAAACTTTAGAGAAAGAAAAGTTTTGGCTGGCAAGAAAAGCTTGAAAATCTTTTTTTTTTTTTTCTGTAATGAGGAAGGTGGTGGGATAGGTTTTAAATGAGTGACAGTCTGATTTGCATTTTAGGTGTGTAACTGCACTGTGAAAGAATTGAGTCATTTAACAACTATTTTTGGTCTGTTTTTCCTGCTTTTACCAAGTATAACAGGTTTTTGTTTTAAGACAAAATTATTTTTCAATTGGAAATATAAGAAACACAAACATAGGTTTGTATTTTAAATCGGTTCTCAGAGTAAAGCTATTCCAAGTTGTAAAGAGAAAACAATGACAAGAATAGTATTGAACTAAGGGAACTATAGCAAAAGAAACATAATAAATGTATCCTCAAGATCCAACATGGATCTATATTCCTCAAGCTCCAACATGGATAAACATTCTAATAGATGAGAGAACAGAATCTGCACACACTTATACATACTTAAACCCACATACATACACAATCTGCAGATACGTAAGGTAACCTCTCCTTCTAGCCACACAATTTAATTCGGATTAGTTAATAAATAGGGATATCCTATGGTCAACCACCACCTGTGATGATAACATGACAAACTTAAGCTGGTTAAGTAGTCCTATTTTGGTACCTTTGAAATATTTCCTTCTTTACCTTGATGTATTTGTTATATATTTCTACATGCAAACCCTTTTGATTTATGACACTTTTTCAAGCTAGTCCTTTGTTGTGGTAGGCATATCACTGAATGACACTATAATAGGAATCATTAACTAATTTAAAAGTCTGAGCCCTAATTGTATTTCTTGACACACCATAAATTCAATGTCACTTATAAAATATATTTTCAGTTCAAAATATCCCCAACAAATTTCTATATGAAAAAAAATTCTTCACAATTCCAGATAAAATATTAATTCACCTTAACAAAGATCAGTAAAAGAAATCTATCCTCTATTGATCTTTTCTCACCAAAAAAACAAACAACTTACACTCTCATCCTCTTCCTCCTCCTCCTCTTCTGCATGGTGGAAGAAATGTCGATAATTACCAGGGTTGATTTCTGTATCTTCAGGCCCAACAAAGAATCTGGCGGCTTCACTCATTTTTATTTCATTTGGTATAGATTATAATTTAAATGTGCTACATTAAAACTGCTTCTACATAAATAGCATCACAAGAATGCATTCTCTTTATACCAGCTGACACATAGATCTGTTGCAGCTTATTTCTGCTTATACAGTCACTTGAATTGTGATGACACTTAGTTGGCAAATGCTCTTTTGTTCTCAGATATCATTGCTTCATTGTTGATGCAGTTTAGAAAAACAAAGATAGTGAGGCTATTGCTTCAGTGAGATGATTCAGCAATCATTTTGCCTAAAATACAATGAAAAAAATAATTTTAAATAACGTTTATAAAATCTGTATCAATAACTTGAAAAGATATTTTCTTCCATAAAATTAAGAAATTAAGACTCAGATCTTCAATATACAACTTTGTAACTGGACAGACTGATACAAAATAACAAAAAGACTAAACACTAAAATCCTTAAGTGCAAAATTAACAAATTAGGAAAAAAATATTAAAACTGTAACAAAATTACATTAAAAGCTAAATTCCTCTGCATATAGTTCGGTAATATCTGAATGAAAAACAACAGATAAAAGGTAATGGGGTTTAATAAACACTGACCCCCATCCATCAGTCTGAAATTATTTTAAATCAATTCTTTTTAAAACAGTATATCACTTTATTGGGGTAGGGCTGAAAGGGGAGTCACCATGGTGGGAAATTAAATCTAGTAAAGGAATACAAGTGCAGGAAGCAATGATGTTAAAATAATAATACACAAAATGGATAACTGCAATCACTTTCTTAAGAGGACTCAACTTGTGGAAGAAAACCTTTAATTGCTGTTGCAAAAAAAACAAAACAAAACATATCTATATGAAGTAGAATTTGGTTTCAGCAACATCAGTAGAGAATATGTTCTAGAATTTGGAGGTAATTGGACATAATATCCTGGTAGCGATTTAGTAGAATAGTCCCAAACGATTAGGCTGAGGCCAACACCTAAGGGGGATGAAAGCCATGTGTTCGGGGAATTTTGGATGATACTTGGAGAAATCTTACGTTGTGCATAAACCAAACTGAATTATCACAAGTGTTATAAAGTTTAATATAGTAAAAGTTTTTTTCTACATGCACTTCAATTTCACAGCAAGGGTGGCATAGGATACTTAAACACTGGAGAGAACATTCATGCAAAATATCAAACTCCTTGATATAAGAAAGTATTCAATTCAAAACGATTACACTATCACTAAGTCTAGGGCTTTCTGCAACTACAAGTGGTGGCTATGGAAAGCATGGCCTCCTGTATCAATATCTAAAGAGCAGCACCACCTTCTTCTATGTGTGTTCTCTTTTGCATTTTTTCCTCGTTTTTCTTCACTCTGCTGTTGTTACTTTTTCTTAGCAAAACTGGTAAAAAACAAGGTTGTAATCACTGAAAGTAGCATTCTGACAATTAAGACATTTAAAACCTTCAATCTGTGTGCCACTTAAAACTCTGGTTCATAAATAAGATGGTCACAAACTTTCCTGGTTTGAAGACTTCCTGATCAGGTCATCATAGCAGGCCCGACTTAAGTTTGTTTCAATGCTAACATAAGAAAATTCTGGTTCTAGAATAATGTGCGTAGTCCAATAAGTTCCATATCCGATTCCATGCCATTCATTGAATGCCCACAAGGATTAAACACTGTGGCGTCAATGACAGAACCTGGTATCAGGTCATGAATTACATTCTAACGGATGGCATCCTGTGCAGTAACACCTCTTTAACGTAGAACTGGTCCATTAACTGCTGGGTCAACCTCACTCATCAGAATTTTCAAGGTTTAATCTGGCTAATTCCCTTCTCTCTTGGAAATCCAAAGTATACAACAGTCAGAAATCATACTGACTGTTGGGAAAACTGCGATAAGAAGCTGCTCCACTTGGGAAAACTGCGATAAGAAGCTGCATTTTCCCCCAGAAATTCCATGTCAGCACCCTTGGTGAGAAGGCTTCATGAAATTCTTACGAGAACAAAAGCAACTTTAAATTGCATGGAACCCACTGTGATCCCTCGTAAGTTTTAATAGGGGAACTAGTGCTTTCAGCAAGAGGATGATACCACATATCTTCAAAATGAAATGTCTCTCAGAGACAAACATGTTACTCTCACATAAGCACACTTATAATTGGACAGTGCACATCCTTCAAAAGTATGTGCTACTAGATCTTGGGATGGTGTGAAGATTCCCAGATGCTTGATTTGTGTCAGGTTGCTGCCTGGAGAACCAAACCTCCAGTAGCTTCTCAGTCCCTTTTAAAAAATGTGCAGCTCCTTCACTGTGAGACAAGTGAACAATCAATAACCACAGAAAATCAACTAAATTAAATCTCTCTCCCACTGCTGCTGAGGATGGGTCCAGCTGTTATTACTAAAACTAAAGTTCAGGTTCCCTTTTTTTGGTTTGTTCTAATTTTATATTGTAACTTTTTCTTTAAAAGGATGAATAAAATTTTCCCAGTTTTTGTGTGTGTGTGTGTGTGTGTGTGTGTGTGCAGGTGGAACATGAGTCTGTTGGAAACAGAGGCAGATACACTTACAGTTCAGTCTCTTGTCTGCTTTTCCCTGTTAAAGAGAGCAGAGACAGAGCGAGCTAATGTTGCCTATTGCACTGAGGAAGCTTAATCAAAATGTAAAAGGCCCCAATTTGTAAAAGTATATTTTGGAAAAAAAAAAATGTATGTAGATTTTTAGAGAGTATTCTGCATTCTGGTCTTATACAAATCAACAAAACAAGATTAGAGTGAAAAAAAGTATTTGATTCTATTAGCCCTTAAACCTTCAGAAGTCAAAAAATTGGCTAATCTGATAAAATGTAAGGATTCTCTTAGAAAAAAAAGTGCATGTGCACTAAATCCTTCATGCAACTGTATGTGACTGGATTCCCATCCAAACTCCTCCACATAAACATGCCCATGAACTACACACAACAGTGATATATCTCAAGGCTGTTTACATGTATTTGTCCCTTGGTCACATTAAAACTAATTACCTATCAAGATGAAACTACATATCAAATATTTCATTTGATTACTGGTAATATAAGAACTTAATCAAATATTCTTAAGAAGAGCTGAATGCTATGCTAGATAGAATTGCAAAGCATAACTCCAAAAGTTCTATTCCCAAGTAGCTAATTCCAGTAAAATGGGGTGATAAAAATTTAAGATTATTTTGACGATTAAATGATAATGCAGACAACCACAGCAATTAGCATATGGTAAACATAAAGTAAATGTTAGCTGTTACACTGGGTATCTATTGTTGTGTTGGCTCTTGTAATATTTCTTTTTTTAATGTGGGCAATCTAATGGAAAAGAGGTCAGTGCCCCTGACTAAAGAGTTTGTTTTAAAACAAACTATTGCATGTTTTAAAAATTCTTGTGGCACACTGGCGGAAAACCATTGCTTTAATCCCTTGCTTTAAACAAGCCCATGCTACAGTAAGTTCAGTATTTTGGTTTCTGAAGTACTGAATTCTGCATCACAATACTGATGCTCCATAAAGACAAGAGATCATGTCTGTCTTTTGTTAGACACTACAAAAAAAAAATTTTTTTTTAATGAATGCTTTCAGCTATTGCAAACGTTTGTCAAGAAACCGGAAGCGATGAAGCCTATAGGCAGGACAATAGTAGCTGTAATAAGTAAGCATGCAGAGGCTAGATTATGCAAAAAATCTGGTTTCCCATGCAGGTTCCACTGTTTAACAGCAGCAGTAGAGTATTAGGGCCAGTAATGCGACCTCTCCCAGCCTCAGTTTCCTCTTCTGCAAAAATGAGGATAATAACCTGCCTTCTGGCATTGTTGAGGGGCATAGGAGAAAACATGTAAAACGCACTTGGCACACGGCTCAGGTCAGCTATCCTTATTGTTTTATCTGCCCGAAACAAAAAAAAACTTTATTTTTCATTGCAGAATTTTTTCAATAGTAAAACAAAAGCCTATCCGCAGCGTGGAGAGCAACAGTGGTAGGTGCTGGAGTCAGCAGCCATGCTCCTGACCTCCAGGGGAGCCTTCCAGCGCGCCAGGCAGGTGCTACCCACAGGCTCCAAAGGTCGCAGCTCCCCCGGGAGAGGCGCTGAGAGGCCGGGGACAGGGATCCAAGGGTCACCCCGCGCTCCTGCCGCCTCCATGTGCCCAAGGATGCACCCCGCTCCCCAACGGACTCGGCGCGGTCACCGGCCCTGGCTCCGGAGAGCTGCCGCGCACTGAAACGAGGGTGGAGGCGGCGATGGGCAGGGGATAGAGGCGGGAAACAAAAAATAAAAAAATAAAATAAAATAAAATAGCCATTTCTACGCACATGAAGTCCCCAAACTCGAGCCCGCCTACTTTGGTGGAGCCAGACCAGCAGCCGGGAGCCCCCGCGAGAAGCGCTCGGCGGCTCCCCGCTCCGCTGACACCTCTGGGATCCCCAACCCAAGAAACTGACAAGGAAAGCGATGGAGGAGGAGGAGGAGGAATGGGAACGTGAAACGATTCCTCCACGCCGCCTTCCGCTCCGGCCCCGGCCCCTCGAGGCGCGCGTGGCTCCGGCTCCGCCCGCGGAGTTCAGCCGGAGACAAAGCAACGAACTGGCCGGGCTCCGCGTCTCGGCTTTTTCCTTCGGCGTCGGCACCCTCACCTGCCAGGGCTGCGGGTGTCACGCCAGCGGCTGGAGATGGCCCACACCGCGTGCAGGTCTCGGTTTCCCTTTTGATCCCGAGGGCAGGGGGAGGGGGGAGGTGTCCGTCCGGAGGCTCCAGCTGTCAGCGTGGTCGCGGGTCTCCTTTCTTCCCGCAGCCGAAGAGCCACATGGAGGAAGCGCCGGGAACCACCGCACCGGGGAGCCTCCGCCACGCCTCCTCCGCGCCCGCTTCGGGTCTCCCTCGGACACCTCGCCGGGCAGAACCAGTTTCCCGCAGGAGCCAAAGGTTCCGCCTTAACCTGCTCGGACCGGAGCTCCACCCCCCGTAAGCCCCGCCCACCTCTCTTAACG